CCCCCCCCCCCCCCTTTTTTTCTTTCCTAGGGGGTTTCCTTTAAGGGCCGGCGGGATGTTCCCTTTAAACCCCCCCCCCCCCCCCCCTTTTGCTGTTCACCCCCCCCCCCCCCCGCCTCTGCAGGTTGTCACCGCCGACGGCCAAACCTACGAGCGGCACGCAATCACAAACTGGCTCGCGCGGCACGACACCTCCCCCCTCACGGGGGAGATGCTCGAGCACACCCGCCTCACACCAAACGTGATGGCGCGCTCCCTCATCCGCGAGTGGGCCGAGCGGCACCGCCTCGACGCGCACTGAGCCTGGAGGCGCCTCGCGAGTGTACCGGCGGTGCCTCTCCCTCTCGCCGGCGGGCGCACCGCCCCGCAGAGGCAGGCGCCCCTAAGCGCCAACGGCTCGAGCACAATGCACGAGCTACGAGCCGGGCCCCAGCCCTGTCGCGTCCCTCCCACGGCCTCTCGTCACGTCTGTGGAGGCTCATCGCCCGGCGGAGTGTGGAGGCCGTGTGCGCGCGGCGAGCCGGTGAGAGTCACTCTTGGGGCTATGGCACTCTTGTTGGGCTTGACTGAATAGAGAAAACGATCAAAAATGAGTCCGGTCTCCGAAACGCGAAACCGAAAGGGGAAATATACTTATAGGCAACAACGAGAAGAAAACCACCGTGCACCGAACCAGTTCAGTCAAAAAATGGTGCACAATATATCCAACGACGACGTCGACGTTTATGGTTTAACCAGAAACGACAAAAAATGACACGACAAGTTGATGACAAGACGAGAGAGAGAATAACTGGCCCCGGGCCGGGACAACTTGGAGTGCAGTCAGTAACCTCACATCCAGGGCCGGGGAGCTAGAGCCGTAACGCGTAAGAAGCGCACCCAGCGGGCTGGATGATCGATATCGGGTTGCGGGCAAGAAAGCCCTAGCCCTGGGGGTGCGCGTTCGCAGGGAAAGGGCCTTAAAGTAAACACGGGTCCCCGAGGGTTGGCTCTGCGCTCCGGGTTTCCCCTAGCAGCGGAACGCCCCCTCTACTCGGAGCTAGTAGACACCAGACACTAGTACGACAACACATACACTTCTCACTGACATCATCGCTTGGACCCCACCGCTCCGCGCGCGGCCTCCCTTAACGCCCGAAGGGGGGGTCCTCCCTCCCCTCGGTCCTCCCTTCTGTTCGCCTCAGTTCGCCTTCCGGTGGTTACGCGATGATTGTGGGGCCCGACCTCCCCTCCTCGCCTTCTTTGGCTGCGGCCCCGCCGCCGTTCCGTCTTCTCCGCCAGATCCTGTTGACTCCGCCTCCCCGGCGATCCCGTGCCCGACTCCCCGGGCGCGGGCGGCGGCATTGGGTCGTACCGGCTACTGCCTCCCCCCCCTCAGAGTTTGACCCTTTTTATTTTTTTAAGAGAATAACTGAGGAGAATAACAGACGAAAAAACAGACATGAGACAAAGCTGACCAAGGGGCCGTACGTTGAAGGTGGACAAATAAAATGCGCATTCCTGCGCGCGGCTTGCCGCGGTTAGAAAGTGAAAGAGGACGACCCACGTTGGGGACCGCTCGCGCGCACGGCAATTCGAGGCCACACAAACAAACGGCGTGTGTGAGAGCTGCACTTACTTGAGCGCTGTGTGTGAGAGATTTTTCTCTTCTCTTCGTGTGTACCAGGGTGGTGAAGCGGGGTCTTCTTAGGGAGAGGGAAAGGAGAAAAGAAAGAAGGAAAGACGAAAGGTGTTCGAAGATAGCTCTCTCCTCCGAGACGTTCTTTGTGAGCGCGCCTTGGCCCTTGCGCGCGTAAACCTGACGCGTCTCATTTCCTGTTCTCGAATCTTGCTTGACCAGTGTCTAAGTGTCGAGAACGAGATCAATCTGTCGCTTGCCCCGCGGACGATTGTGGACTGATCGATCGATCGACGGGCCGGTCAGCTGGGACGTTCTAGAGAGAGAGATTTTTATTAACCAACAAGAAATCACGACTCTCACAGTGATTTGGGCTCGGCAGCTTGTTGTTTCTTGACGTTCTACGGTTAAACAACGCAGTGAGCGTCGGCGCCGACACGAGAGACTTATAAGGGTAGATGCACATGGGTAAAGTGGGTTGAGGCGGGCTAGTACTGTAGGGTGGTCGGACTGTTGGCATCGTTTGTCGCTCGGCCTGGCGACTGCGGACTGGCCTGCATGGTCCACCGCGCGCTTACAGCCAAGCGGGTGGGCGGCGCGATCGGCCAAGCTCCTGGCGGCGCTACTGATGAGCCAGCGGCTGATGTGCGACGTCGACATGGTCGAGGAGCAGCAGTTGAGGCAGCTCGAGGGCGACGCAGCCGGCGGCCCGCCAACGTTGCCCGAGTCCATGGCGGTGGCCGGTGCCGCTCACGCCGGGCGGCGCGTCGTCGGCGCGGATGTACACGGGTCCAATCTTTGCGCGGACGGGCAGTGGCTGGCAGCCGATGCTCTGGCACGTGCAGGCATGCCAGGAAAAAAATATTTTTTTCCCAAGCAAGTCGACAAGTCTTTACGGGGCCCATGCAGGCGAACGGGGTGGTGAAGGCTGTGTGCTCTCCCAAGCGGTCGCCAAGTGTCGGGAGCGTGTCGTCGAGCGACTTGGCGAATGGCGACGACCAGGCCAACGGCGGCGAGACGGCTGTGCCAGCACGCGTATCCCCGGCTGTGCACGCCTCGCTGTCCGCGATGCCAGGACACATGCCTCCAGCGCCGGGTTCGCCACTGGCGAAGGCAGGGCCGTCCGCCGATGGAGAAGGCAAGTCGCTGCTGGGTGGGACGGCCCTCGAGCTCGCTGCGCTGCGCCAGCAGGTGGCGATGCTGGAGAGCCGGCTGCGGGAGGCGGACCGGACTCGCCAGATGTGGGAGGCATGTATGACGACGCTGGTGGGCTCCATCCTGCTCGGGCCAGAGATGAATGAAATGTGCGCCGCCGCCGCCGCCGCCGCCGCAAATGCCGCAACGACCGGTCGTCCGCCCCTCCGGCTGCCCGAGAGCTGTGTGGCCACTCTGTTGTTCGCAGGTACAAGCAGGAGTGCTCGAGCCTGCTCTCGCAAGCGCTGGTCGGCTTGGAGCAGATCGACCGCGTGCGATACGTCGAGTGCTCCTTCCCGTCGGTCTCGTCCGAGGCGCCCCTCGCCTCTCCCCTCCCCCTCCCCCGCTGCCTCTCCCGTCGATGCCCTCCCTTCCCCTCGTCTCCGGTCTCCAGCCCTCGCCCCTCCGTCTCCGCCCGTCTCCGTCCCTCCGTCCCTGCCTCCCAGCTCGCTCGCACGTCAACCGCCCCTCCCCGCTCCGAACCCAAACCCAACCTCAGGCCCCGCGCCTCTCTCTCGAAAGCTGGGAGTCGATCGCTCGCTCAGAGTGGCAGCTGCGCTGGTCCGCAGCGCAACTCACCACAACCCCAGCCCGGAGCCTGAGCCCGAACCCGAAGATCCGCGGCATTGCCCCCCCCCAGGTCGCCGAGCTGGAGTATGCAGGTCGAGGGCTCATTATTACGATTACTATTATATTAAGCCGAGCTGGAGCATGCAGACAACTCCACCCCTTCCCCTCACCCTTCCCCTCACCCTGACCCTAGCCCTAGCCCTAGCCCTAACATGCAGGTGGCGGTCGAGGGCTCGTACTACGTCTCCTTTCGGCTGCTGCTCAAGATCGACTCGGTCCGCACGCTCCCCGCCGCCTCTGGACACGCCTCCCACACGTCCGCATGTCTAACCCTAACCCTAACCCTGAACCACAGGTCCGCATGTCGGGCGCCCTCGTCGTCAACGCCGCAAACGACTTGCGACAGATCGGCGACCTCTCCGCCGAGGGTTGCATCGCGAGGCACGGACCTCGCCCGACCGCGGCCCCTCTCCCTCCTCCGCAGGTCTCTCCTTCGCCGAGCTGCCTGCGCTCAAGATGAGAGTCGAGTGCACCGTCTCGTGGGGCACGCTGCCGCTGCCGCTGCAGGACAAACACTCAGCCGATAGCTGGCCACGAGCGACCCTCACACGATGATGTCGCCGCCCTCTGAACTAGTGGTCCGAATCGTCCGCCAGCGACGACTCATCGGTCACCCTGCCGCACGCAGGACTACATTGGCGAGACCGTCGTCAACGAGTTTCGCGCCTGGCTGACACGAGCGATGGCGCGGCGCCGCCTCGCCGGCCAGAGCCGGTGTGGCCAAGCCCCTCTCACCCGGTGTCGCCTCCCCGCCCCGCGGTGTCGCCAGGTCCAGCCCAACGAGCTCGTCATCAAGCCCGCCGCCTTCCAGCCAAAGCAGACCCTCACCGACGCAGACGTCGAGCGCGCGATGTGAGAGCGCGAGGCGAGCCAGGCGCCCCCTCTCTCAACGCGGCGTCAGAGCGCGGGGCGTGCCGAATGTAGGCGCGCCGCGTCGATGGCGAGGGAGCTCTCTGAGGTGCAAAACGAGACGTTGCTGTGATGCTGGACGCCCAGCCGCGGGCTACCGTGTGTGTCGCGCCGTCGCCGCTCGAACGATTGCCGGGCGCGCTGACGAGACACCGATGTGTGGCCGTGCCGCTTGACAACATGTACATGTACAACATGTGCGCGCGGTCGGTCGGTTGTGCCGGCGGCCCCGCTTATGCGGCCGTTCGGTGGTTGTGGCAGCGGCTTTCTGCAGCGTGCTTGGGGGGCATTGCGTCTCGTGTGGCGCCGCCAGGGTGGCGCCGCTGTGCCGCGGGATTCTTACCCGCGGCGCGTCGCGCCGACGTCTTTTCGTGAAGTATGTGATGTTAAACGCTAATGACGGCGTAAAAGGCGCGCGGGGGGGTGTCTTAGAGCTGTCTTGGTGCGCACGCAAGACGAGTCGAGACGCGCCGCCGCGGGCTGCCGACGGCGACGCTCGCGCGCAGGGAGGCTCGCGCGTGACCTACACGCTAGAGCCGCAGTCGCTACTCTACCAGAAGGTTCACGTCTAACGCGACGATCGAAAGAAGAGAGTCGTGATTTCTGGTTGGTTTTCAAAAATCCTCTGGGGGGAGGCGGGGGTCCTAGAGGGTATCCATGCGGGGGGGAGATGGGGTCCCACGGCCCGCCGCAGGCGCCGATTTTTGGGGACTTTTTTTTCTTTTTTGCGCGATTTTTTACTTGTTTTCAAGGAATTCGCCGGTCTGCGGCCATGCTATCACGCCTTGCGACAGCCTGTCGGCGCTGCTGACCGTGCCCTGCTGCACAATTGACCACCTGCATAGCTCGCGGCCTTAGTATCCACCGTTCAGTGACGACCTGATCGTACGGCCAGTAGGAAGGTGTCCTTCCAGCGCGTGCACGCTTCTGACGGAATGCGCGTCACAAACTGCCTCGGCGACTGGCTGCTGGCACTCTCGAGGCTATGCCTACACAGCCTCGCGCGCATGGGCAGTCAGGAGGGACCATGCACCTTCTCCGGACAGCGCCGGTCCCTCTCTCTTGGACCGGCAAACTTGGCGGTCTCGTGTCACCAATGTGGGACCAGTGCGGCGGATCGCGCCATCGACAGCTCTGAACTGCGCCTCACCACTGACCGGGAAGGCCGCCAAGTGGGCCAGCACCGGTCACACATTGTGGCAGCAGTCAGCAGTTATCTGATAGCTAGAGCAGCAGCGTCAGGGTCGCAGGGTTGGATCATGTCAAGCCTCTCGCCCGGCCGGCCGCGTGCAGACGTCGGCCTGTCTGCTGTCTGGAGTGATCTGTCGGCGGTCAGTACGACCGATCAGGTCGGAGTTTTCTGATGGTTGGAGGGTCTATCTGTATGTACTCCTCGAGATCTCTCCAAATCTGCCCTCTGATTAACCTAGCTTAATCGGGAAGTCGGTGCTAGCGGAGACTAGCGGAGCCGGGGCCCCGTTTCCGCACTGCGGCGCGGCGCACGGTGCCTCCGGGGGCCCCCGCCTCCCCCCAGAGCAAAAATCTCTCTCTCTCGATCGAACTCTGGTCTCTGGGCCGATGCCACCTCGCGTTTGTCCTAGTTCTTACTGTCGCTCGTTTTGACATGACATGACAGAGAGTGTCCCTTGTAATGCGAGAGAGTGCGGTTCTTCCTATCCGCTTTCTCTCTCCTGCAGCCCCGCCCGTGCCCCGCGAATTCTTGTCCAGCAAGACCTGCTCTGGATCGCCGTCCACCAGTGTGTCTCGACGCCGAACCCGAATGCGCCTCCTCCTGCAGTTCAAGGGCAAGACGACCGAGGTGCACGCCGACAGTGCCGACACGGTCATTGCCGCCGCGCACGACGCTCTCGCGCTGCCGTCTGACGAGTGGCGTCTCAAGATCGTCGCGAAAGGGAAGCAGCTCCAGCCGGGAGCTTCCTTGCCCGCGCTGGCCGAGGGCGCCAAGCTCATGGTGATGGCATCGTCCATCACCGCCGTTGAGCGCGGGCTGACCTCGCGATCAGACCCGACGGTGCGTGGTTTTGCAGCCGAGGACGAGGCGGCTTCGCGGCGTGCAGCCGACACGGCGGGTGGCGCAGACGAGGTGAGCGTGTGGTGCACCTCGCAGGATGCAGAGCACAAGTTCTGCCGATTCGAGCCGTGCACGTGGCAGAGCTTCGGCACTCGCCCCTCGTCGACCACCCCGCACGCCTTCGAGGCGCGCAAGCTGCTGCTGCGGCTGGCTACCGACCCGGCGGTGGTGGGCATCATGCGGGAGCGTCGGTATCGGGTCGGGACGCTCGCCGAGATGGACCCGATCGACGACCGGCTCGCCGAGAAGATGGAGGGCGGCGGCAAGCGGCTGCTCGGCTACAACACCAACCACGGGATGTCCATCCACGTGCGGCTCCGGACGATGGACTTGCGCGGCTTCGAGGCGTACCCGTCCCTGGTGGACACGCTGCTGCACGAGCTGGCGCACAACGAGGTCGGGCCGCACAACGACCTCTTCTGGCACCTCTTTGCCCAGCTCAAGGCCGACTACCTCCGCCACCACGCGCGCCTTGCGCAGAGCGGTGCGCTCTTCAGCGGCGCGTCGCCGCTGCAGCTCGCCGGCGTCGCCGAGCAGGCCCTCCTGCCCGAGGCAGCCGGCTCCTCCGCACCGGGGTCGCTCACGCGGCGGCCTGCGCCTGCAGGTGTCTGACGTGCGCGCCGCAGTCTTGGGCACCGTCGCTCGCGACCGCATGGCGCCGCTCCCTCCGGCGCAGGAGGCGCTGCTCGACGGCTACTTCTCCCTCACCGAGCGGCGCGGCGGGAACGCTGTGGGCGGGGCGGAGCGGCAGGGCGACAGCGGCGAGGGTGCGTCGCACGCTAGCGCGAGAGCCTTGGCGGCAGAGCGCGCGGAGGCGCGCCGTCTTCAGCAGCAGCAGCAGCAGCAGCAGCAGCACGGCGAGCGGGATGGCGGCGGTCGTGACCACTTGTGAGGAGGGGCGGTCGTGACCAGCGAGACGATCATATCGTATCGAAATGTACCAGCGGCACCGGCGCTCTGGCGGCCTTCCGCCCACAAACGCCGATTTGACCGAAGAGCGCCGCTAGTTCCGAAGACCAGTCTATTTGTCGAACCGAAAAAAAAAACGACGCGCACACCGCACAAGGCACATTCGCATATCGCAATGGCACGCGGCTCACCGACGCAAGCGCGCGGGGCTGCATCCACCATCCTGATTCCTGTCGTCCGTTTTGGGTTTCGTGAAAAAACTGATAAAGCATAAACGTGTGGTATACTGGTAAAACATAATGGGGGGAGATTCGAAGGCTTCTGGAGCGACTACCGGCACATCGCTGCGGGCGAGGCTGCCCGCGAGCCGCGACCCCATGAGGGAGGGGCGTTCGCCCCTCGCCGGTCCCCTCAGCTCATCTTTGCGTCGAAGACCATGTCCTTCGGGTCCTGCAGCCCGCGCGCCTTGTAGCCGTCCATCGCTCGCACCTTCATCGGGGCGGCGCGCGGGCGGAACTTCGGCTTGTCGCGCGAGGAGATGGAGTCGTAGCGCGAGTCGACGCCGAAGGGGCGCGGCAGCAGCCAGTGCAGCCCGATGTCGACCGGCGTCTTGAAGCCGTCGAGCGGCAGGTAGAGGCCCTGCACGCGCCACAGCTCAACCTGCGGGCGAGGGGCGGGTGGGGCTCGGGGGCGGCGGCGGGGCGGCGGCGGGCACGTGCGCGGCGGCGGCGCCTGCGCTTTCGCCGCCTCCGCCATCGAGGTGACGACGGCTTGCTTCTCGAAGGAGTAGGAGAGGGGCAGGGTCGGCGGGAGGGCCGCCTTTGCGTCCGCCTCGAACTTGGTTGCCGCCTCCTTGACCATGGTGCGCAGCTCGGCCTCCACCTGCGTGGGTGGGGCGGCGGGGCTGGGCGGGGCGGGCAAGGGAGGGAGGGAGGCGGCGGCGGCGAGGGGAGGGGAGGTTGTGCAAGGCGCCTTCAGCGACGGCTTGAGCGCAGCGAGCTTCTGCATGAACCGCTCCCGCGACTGCACCTGCAGCAGCTTGAGCTGTCGCCGACAAGTGGGCGTCGCGGCGCGGGTGATCTGCGAGAGCAGCGCGCTGCGGGCGGTCGCCACGGTCGGCGAGCCGCCGAGCTGCGCCGCGTCGGCCGAGTACTTTGCGATCGAGTCGTCGATCAGCGAGCCGAGCCGCTCCCCAAAGTCGGGCAGCGCAGTCGCCTGGCGGGGAGGGCGGTCAGTCGGAAGCGAAGGGGCGGGGGGAGGGCCCGCCGGACCCATCGCGGGGGCGGCGGGGTGCGGGCGAAGGCGTGGGGGCCGCGGCGCGCCTCCGACGCCTTTTGCAGCGCCTTGAGGCCCTTTGAGAAGTGCTTTGCTGCCCGCTCCGCAATGGCGGAGGAGCGGTGCGCCGTCTGCACCTCGCCCCAGCGCGCGGTGGTGGCCGGCGGCAGGGGCCCCGCCGCGCTGAGCGCCTTGGCCGTGCCCAGCGCGGCCGACCCCTGCGTCGACCACGCCCCCTCCTTGAAGAGGTAGTCCGGAGCGCTCGGGTCCGTGAAGCGGGCGCGCAGCGCCGCGACGGCGCCGTCCGCGCCGGCGCCGGCGGGGACGACGTGCAGCGTCGTCTGCGAGGAGGGCAGGGAGGAGGGGTGGGGTTGGGGGGGCGGCCGCGCCGGCCGGGCGGCGGCGGCTCGCGGCAGCGAGGGTGCGGCAGCGAGGGTGCGGCGGCGGCGCCTCAAAGGCGTCTGGGAGGGACAGCTTCGCCGCATCCTCCGGCTTGCGGATCGAGGCCCAGAGCCGCTCGAGCGCGCCGGAGACGAGGGCGCTCAGCTCGGCGCGGGGCGACGGCTCCTCGTCCTCGGACACCACCAGCACGAGCAGCTTCTTGCCCGGCTTGAGCGCGCGGAGCTTGAGCGAGCGCTGCAGCAATGGCGCCAGCTGGGCGACGCCGTGCGGCCCGTCGGCCTCGAGGTCGGAGAGGCGGAGCTCGAGCAGCACAACGTCGCTCGACGCGACCGCCATCGCGCTCTCCGCCACGTCGCCGCCGCTCACCAGCGCCACCGCCGTCGAGCCCGGCATCACCTCCACCGGCTTTGTCGCCGCGGCGCTCAGCACCGTGGAGGCGCCGATCTTGCTCGCGCCGCAGCAGGCGACAGTCGCGACGCGGCCATCGCCCACGCCCTTGATCGCCCCGCTCAGCGTGCCGAGCAGCTCCGCGCTGGCGCTCGATGAGAGCGCGAGCACGAGCAACAGCAATCTCATTGCGCGATCGTGGCGCCTGAAAAATAACGGAGGCAGCGCAGCTGGGAATGGACCGCCCCAAGCGGCGTGGCGTGGAGCGGTTGAGCATCCCTCCGGGGGCCCCTCTGCGCCGGGGAGGCGTTGTTGGAGGCTAGGACGCAAGCGTCCGTCGCCCTTTTCAAACTCGGGGCCCACTCCGCTACGCTCCGACCGACCCGAATTTGGAGGGCCGAAAAGTTTAAGGCAAAAGGGGTCGGACACAAAAGGGGTCGGACACAGGGCGCAGCTCATGCTAAGAGCTAGAAGGGGAGCTAGAGAGAACGACTACCCTGTCCCGTTTATTGCGTATACACCAACACCACAAAAGCTCTCTCTCTCCTGTCCTCACTCAGAGCACAGAGGGGGGTCACAACTACCGAGTCTCTCGACTAGCTGCCACGTTGCCGACCGAGAGCGGATCTCCTCCTGCTCCGCAAGGAGGGTGGCCAAGGCTAAAGTCTTGTCGGAGCCGCCGGGCGTGTTGACGACTTGGAGAAGGTCGCCCTTGTGCTTGTGCTTGTAGAGATGCTCGAGGGTGGGTGCCGAAGAGGAACAGACGGCCGCAGAGATCATCCGGATCATGCTGCAGGGCTGGACGGAATGGGGCGCCCAACACGTGCCCGGATTACTGTGCCTTCCCCGGGCACAGCCTTTCGGTTCGTGAAGGGTCGGTGCGTGTCGTGACCCCCTGGAACACCCGTACCCCCGCACCATCTCCGTCGCTTGGTTCCATAACCTCTGCCACAACCGGGAGCGGCCAGGGCTCATAGACTCGGTCGAGAGACCCCAGATTGGCATCCATGCCTCTCTGGACAGGGTGGCCCGCCACAAGGACCCCAGGAATTGCGACTCGCCGCTTTCCTCCCGCTGTGATTCTGTGTGAGCTCTGTGTCTTGATTTGCCAACAATATACCTAAAAGTTAAAAAACCCTCAACCCTCAACTAAAGGGGGGTCTCAACCGTCAACCAGATGGTTGAGGGGGGGCCTCAACGCTCAACCCCTGAACCACCCCTTACCCGGGTAGTGCCGATTTTTCATCCAGAGGATGTCGGCACGCGGGAAGCACGCTGGCCGCACCACTCCGACGCCCGGCGCAGCCGCAGCAGCGCTGCGCGTCACCGTCCACCTCGACGCGGCCAAGCGCGGCGTCGTCATCGGCGCGCAGGGCGCGGCCGTGAAGGAGACGCAGCGAGCGACAGGCGCTCTGGTCCGCACGCCCAAGCGCGGCGTTCCAGGTCCGGCGCAGGTGTCCGGGCCCGACGCGCTCTCCGTGCTGCGCGCGTGCTGCCTCATTGCTCGGCAGACCGCAGCCGCCTCGGACTGCACCTGCGAGGTCGCCGGCGCCGTCGAGCTCCGCGCAACTATGCGGCCAACGAGCCTGCGGCCGGCGCAGCACATCCTCTTCGAGGCCTCTCCAAACGCTGCGACCGATTTTGTGGCCTACGTGCTGCCCGCCTGCGCCGTCAGTGAGCAGCGAGTCGCGGCGGCGGTCGACGACGCCAGGTTTGCATCGGGCGCCTCGACGCTGCCCTGCTGGTCTGCGGCAGCGGGGCACGAGCTCTTCCTCTACGCGTTGGGCGAGGGAGCCGCAGTGGCGAGGGCGCTCTACGCGCGGCTGTCGCCGGCCATCGAGGCGGCGGCCGAGGCGGTACCAGAGGTGGCGCGGCAGGCGGGCGGGGCGGCCGAGGCCGCGGCCGCCGCGCCGAGGGAGCCGCTCCCTTGGCACGCCGTGCTGCTGCAGGGCAGCCTCGCCAGCGGCGGGGAGGACCACGGCATGGTCGAGGCCGCGCTCAGGGGCAAGCTCGGGCTCGGCCCGGCCGCGAAGCAGCTCCGGCCCGCGGCGAGGGAAGGCGAGCAGCTCTGCCTCGTCGACGGCGCGCTGCTCGAGCAGCTCGACGCGCTCCAGGCGCTGTCGCGCCGCGCGCGGGCGCCGGCCACCGTCGCCGAGGAGGGAGGGAGGACGTGCATGGCGTGGGTGTACCGGAGCGTCGAGTAGTCGAAAAATAAAGAAAACAGACAATCCAGTCGAGAGTGCGTGAATGTTTTTTTTATGAAGGCGCGGCAGGGTTCCGGCTCCTAGCCGGATAGGGGGTCTGTTGGGCGACTGGCTGGCCCCTCCCAGATAGGTAGGTAGGTTGGTCTTGTTTCGCCCAAAAGGGCCCTGCAATAGGTAGGTACCCCCTATTTTCATCTTTTTTCGCTTCGCTGCGCGGCCTGGGGATAGGTAGGTAGGTAGGGCGTTTTGGCGCGAGTCAGTGCCAGACCCCCTATCCGGCTAGGAGCTGGAACCCAGTTTGGAGCGCTTTGGCGTGTAGATCCCGTGGCACATCGGCGCATCGGCGGACACTCAAATTCTCTTGTCGAACCATGAGCGGCGCCTCTGGCTCGCCAGCGTGGGCGCTCACTCCGAGCGCGTTCGCAGACCTGCCTCTGCACGACTTTTTGGACCAGCGGCGTGCAAACGGCACGTCGTTCATGCTGCGAGAAGGCCGCGACTCTCTCTCACGGGGCGACTGCCTCGCGCTGGTCGCTGCGAACCGACTACTAACCCGCGTCCCTTGCGGCGGCGCCGAAAGCGCTCGGTGGGTGTACGATTCCACCACCATGGCCTTTCACCCCGCGCAAGACACGTCCCTGTGCCTCGACATCTTCTCTTTCTCCTCTCTCGGCGTGTACTGGTGTCACGGCGGCCCCAACCAGCTCTTTCGGAGCTCGGAGCGGGAGGTGCACTGCTCGCCCTACGACGAGCGCTTCTGCGTGTCGGTCGTGAGCGGCCGGTCGGGCGAGGATGCACGAAGGAGAGGCGAGGAGGGACCCAAAGACGAACTGCGGTGATGAGATCAGTGATGTGATCTGTGATCTGTGAGGGTCCGCCCGCAGGCGCATTTTGTATACCGAGGCGGTGCCCGGTGCCGAACCTGTCGGACTGAGACAGGTGATGTGTAGAGAGAGGAGAGCAAACTCCCTAACTCAGTTTCAAACTTGCCACACCAATATATTGCTAGGAAAAATCTCTCTCTCTCTCTCCAATATAGTATATACGGCTTACAGATTACACCAGATCACACCGTGCAGTACATCAGGTGTCCACAGGGTGCAGCACCGCTTACGTTTACGACATCGGCCTCTGAGCTCTGTGCTCTGAGCTCTACCATAGGGTGCCCACAGGGCCCAAAAAAAGAAAGGAAAAAAGAAATGGGCCACCCCCGATCGCAGCACTTCGTGTTGGCCAGTCGAGAAATTGAGAGTGTGACTAGGAGGGTGGGACGCTGGGGATTCTCAAAGGTATACCCTTGGAATGGCCGGATCCAGCCTTAAAAGTACGAGATCGCGCGCGCTTCGCGCACAGCACCGCCTGTTCTCCGCGGCTGTGTGACGACGCGTGCCGTGTGCCACCAGAGTTGGGCGCGCGCGGCGCGACGGCGCCCGCGAGGGAAGGCGCGGGTGCAGCGGCCGCCGGCGGCCGTACCGCCTGCCAGCCGGCGCAGCAGCGGCCAGCGCAGCGGCCGCCGGCGCAGCAGCCAGATCAGCCGGTGCGCGCCTTGCGAGGCGAGTACTGCCGCCCGGCAGCCTTGAGGCGGCCGGGCGGCAGTACTCGTTCGAACTTTGCGAGCCGTGCGCGCGCCGAGGCGCCCGCGGCGCGCGCCCGCCCGGCTGCCAGTAGGAGGCGGCGCAATATGGCCTATAGTACAGCCCTTGAGGAGGAGGAAGAGGCTGGCTGGCAGTGCTGTATGCCGCCGAGGGGCAGTTTTGGGGTGCTGAGTCGCGCCCAGGGGGCTGCAGAACGCGTCCGCAACCAGGACAACCCGCCCCCCCAGCCGAGGCCGGTCGAAGCCCACTTGGGCACAGCCATGAGGAGTCCTCTTCGTGCTCCTGGCGGCCGTTGGAATGGCGAGCGCGCGCCGAGGGGGGGGGGGGGGGTCTTGCTTGCTCCACACCGAGCGCCATCGGTCCAGACCGGCGTGCCCAATGAGGGGTGGCCTGCACAAGGTCTGAGCCGCGGGCGCTCGGCGCCAAGTGCAGTGTCACGCTCGCGCTGGAGCGGCTCACAATGGGGAACCCTCGTTTCCTAGTCACTCGGTCCCCCAACGGAAGAGGCCTCGCTCCTATTGGAACTGGCCAACATCAGATTTGCCTCGTGCGTCCCTTTTTGAGTCGGAAAGCTATTTTCTTTTGGGTCCTGTGGGCACCCTATCTACCACCAGCTCGACGCTCACTACAAGTGACTGCGAGAGTTCAACTTTCGGTCTCGTCATAATAAGACACAAACGCGACAGCCAAAAGTAGATAGAGGTCAGAACAGAGAACTCGTCCGCACTCCCACTCGGCCGCGCGCGCAGAGGCCAGAGCGCGCCGCGCGCGCGCGCCCCGCCCGCGCGCGCCCCGCCGCACGCGCCGCTGGTGCTGGTCGTTTTCGACGTAGGTTTGCGGCCTCCCGTCACGTGGGCTCCGTTTACCTCTACCTCCGGCGGTCTCAAACAGGTTTACCTCTACCTCTGCCCCCCCACGCCAGCCCTACCTCTACCCCTCACCCGGCCCTCAGCTAGGCCCTCAGAGCCGGCCGTGTGAGGCGGGCCGCCGCCGGAGGTCCCCGCGTCCGCCCTGGCGCCCCGGCGGCCATCTACAGCCCTCCGGTTCCCTCCCTCGGGCGGCGTGAGAAGGGGGCGCGCGCCGGTCTCCTCCTCCGCCGCCGCCGCAGAGTCGGAGCGGGTGCGAGAGCCGCCCAGCAGCCCAGCCTTGCGGAGCAGCGGCGAGGGCGCGCGTCGGTCGGCGGCGTCGCGCCACTGCGCGCTCGTGGTGCCCGAGATGGAGCAGCGCATCGGCGGGCTCGCCTGATCCGCCCCCTCGGCCACCGCCGTCACCGGCTCGTTCAGAGACGGCTGCGGCTTAAGGATCGGCAAGACGCCACCCTCAAAGCAGGTCCGGACGACGATCGCAAAGGAGAGGAGGACGATCATCAGCCCGGCGGCGGCGCCCGCGAACGCGTACTCGACGTGCGTGACCGAGCAGGGCGAGCGGTGCGGGTCGACGGGAGCGCGCGCCTTTGCGCCGCCGCAAAGGCGCTCGATGTCGGCGTCCTCCAGCACGCCTCGGTAGAGGTGCGTCTCGTCGCAGAGGAGCGGCTCGGTCGTGCTGAAGACCACGAATTCAGACCACGCGCGCCCGTGCTCGTTCACCGCCGCCACGCGCGCGGCGATCGTGGCGCCCTCGGGCAGGTCGGACAGCGTCGCCGAGTGCGCCTCGGGCCCGACCCAATAAGGGAACCACTCGGCCTCGTCGCTATCGCGGAGCTGCCACTTGAGCGCAAAGTGGTTGGTCACGCCCGTGTCGCCCTCGGCGGGAGAGGGCATCCAGCGGATCGAGGCCCAGGACGGCCCCGAGAGCACCGTGAGGTTGGCGGGCTTTCCCGGGGGAAGCGCGGCGGGACTGCCCCTCGCCTCCGCCGCGGCGGGGAGGAGGATGAGCGGAAGCATTGCCTGGAACGGATGTGGGGAGGGAAGCCGGCGAGCGAGAACGAGAGCAGCGAGGCGCAGAGCGGTGCGGCTGACAAAGGGGGAAGCTCGGCCCGGCGTACGCCAGGACGGCGTTCTCGATGGGGGGAAAGAATTCGCACTGGTATTCTCGCCGGTTTTCGACGGTTTCGCTCAAAGCCGCTTTATGGCGCGCGCGCCCAAGGCCAGTGATATCCAGCTAGCTCTCGCGCGTGCTTGCGCTTCTGCTCGCCGCAGGCGAGAATATCATTGACCACCCGACCGGCTAGCCCTGCGCACCGGTCGCACGTCACCAATCGCGCGCACGCAGGCGGTAGGACTGCCGGACTGCCGCTTGAGCGTGACGCTCAAGTGCCCCCCGCCCGGCCATCGTAGTCGCCATGACCGACGAGATGGCCCGCGAGTGCACGGCACTGGCCAGTATGAGTGCTGATCGCCGGCTGCGCCTCGCGGCACTCGAGCAGGTGCTGGAGTATGAGGAAGCCGCCGCCCGAGTAGCCGAAGCGGCTGCCGGGCTGCTTCATCACGGCCAGCGATGCGTAATCGTACGGCGCAGGCGCCTCGTCGGTCCCCGAGAGGAGCTCCAGGACGGGCGGGAAGGGCTCGTCACGGGGGACGCCATTCACGTAGTGCATGCCGAGGCCAGTGTGGTCCATCGTCTGGCCGGGTACAGGGAGGAAGGGGTGAGCGGGGTGCCGTGCCGCTCCCCTCGTGAGACCTGTACCTGTCGCAGCGTGACTGTCTCAGCCCACTCCGCTGGCATCCCCGCCGCAGCACGCAGGCGAAGCGGTGAGCCGGCGGCAGCGAGCGCGTCGTTGACTGAGGCCTCGAGCGATATGCCCGCCTCAGCAAAGTACTCGACTGCGAATGTGGCCGCAATCGGCTTGGAGAGCGATGCTATCTGGAGGAGCGTAGAATCAAAGAGAGGCGTGCCGGCAGAGTCAGCCAGTCCGGCCGTCTGTGTCGCGACCGTCGCGTCGCCATTTCCGGTGCTGGGACAGAGGGCAGCGATCGACACTCCCGAGACGCCATGCTGCTCTAGCAGGGACGAGAGTGATTCAGGTCGGAGCAGGTCGGACCTCGGCATACCTACCAGCACGCAGCAGGACGCACGAACATAAAGTTGGGTTGTTCTCGCCCCGGTGGAAGTGAGGTCAATAACTGCACTCCAAGTGCTCCAAGTGCCGATCACTGTCTTTCGCCCTGAAAGCAGACTTATACTTCACAGCTCACCTCTCTCCACTTCCCCCCGTCAACACCGGAGAAACATGCGAACGCCCCTTCCACCACCCCTCCCCCCCACACACACACACTAGCACGAGCGGCGCGGCTGGGGGCCATGAATACGGGATATTCCACACCGCGCGGTGCATTCAAGAGTCGCCAGCGTGGGGAGCCTGCAGCTTCCGCCGCGTCCGATGGGACCGCGGAGCGCGACCCGATGCCCTCCGTCCTCACACGTTGGCCTCGGCGTCAGAGAGCAGCGCAGCAGTGTCCACGCCCGAGACGCGGGCTCGAGAGTTGCGGCGCAGCGAGTTGCGCGAGGTGCGCGAGGCGTGGCTCCAGCGCGAGGCGCGCGCGGCGCGTCTGGGAGAGCCGCTCGAGGAGAGGCGCGCCGCCTCGGACGCGCGGCTCTTCCGCATCGAGCCGCGGTCGTCCGCGTCGTCGTGGCGGAGGCGGACGAGCTCCACCACGAGCTCCTCAAACTCCTCGAGCCCGAGCGTGCCGTCCCCGTCGGCATCAAACCGCTTGAGCACGGGGCGCGCGTCTCCGTCGACCTCGAGCTTCGCGAGAGCGTCCTGCAGCTCGGCCAGCGACAGGGCACCCGAGCCGTCCTTGTCGAAGAGCTCAAAGGCCTCGCGGATGTCCTGCCTGCTGAGGGTCGACTTGGTTGGGTCGACCAGCGGGTTGCCGTCCGTTTGGCACTCGACGTCGATGGGCTCGCCCCGCTCGAGATCCTCTGGGGGAGGGCAGCAGGGGCTGGTCCAGAGCCGCCAGAAAAAGTCGCGGATGGAGCGCAGGACCTCCAGCCACTTCCACTGCTTGAAGAGGAGGTCGCACAGGGCCAGGACGGCGTAGATGAGCGGGACGATGGTGAGGATGATCACCAGCGCCACCCCCGCGGCCGCGCCCTCGTCGCCGTCGCGCCAGTTAATTTTCGGGTAGATGACGAGCTCGGTCCGCTGCTGGTACATGAGCGTGAAGACGATGTAGGTGGCGCCAAAGGAGAGCGGGAAGGCCATGTCCCAGATCGGGTACCAGTGCTTGTGCACGCACCAGTCGAGGAGCGCGACCAACATGATCCACCCGTGCAGGTCGGCCGGAATCTTGTACGGCGCCACGAAGGACTCTAAATAGGTATTTCGGAGATAGTCATACCGTAGCCCGCAGTCGTCCGTCTTGTCCGGCGTGTTCGGAGGATCGGCGTCGTTGTTGGTGTTGTCAGTGCCGACGACCCCTTCGGGAAACCCCCCAGAGGGAGGATCGTTGTTCGGACAACTGTACGGACCGTCGTCCGGTCCCGTCATGTACCCGTAACAGACGGTGACGAGGATGGGAAACACGACGGCGGTCATATGCATTAGCCAAGCGATGTGAGCGTACCACGGCGTGGTCGTGCAGCCTGAGCAGGGCTGCTTCTTCGCGACCGCGAGGCAGGTGGTGAGCGATGCGAAAAAGAGGTAGATGAGCAGCCAGACGCTCGACCAGTTGGTGAGGTAGATGCCCCATTGGTCGCCGTAGTAGGTGCCGAGTTTGTCGGTCGCCGACCAGAGCACAACCGCGGCCCACACGACGAACAGGGAGAGGCGGAAGAGGACGAGGGTGGCGGCGGCGACGCGGTCGCCGCACAGCCGCGTGAAGAGCCACGGCGGCGTCCCAAAGGCCTCCATCCAAGGCGGCGGCGGCGGCGGAGGCTGGCAGCAGCCGATCTCGTACCTGCGGCCGCGAGAGCGGCGTGGTGAGGGCTGGGGAGATCCGGGCGGAGGCGATCGGGGACGAGGTGGCGCACTTGCAGAAGCCGTCGCAGCACTCGGTGGAGCAGAGCACGCACTTCCGCGGGCACCACTCTGTGCTCGGGCACCAGCGCCGGAGGCACGCCTCGCATCCCTTGTTGTTGCAACCGTTATCGCACCAGCCGTTCCAGCACGGGCCGCGTCCGCCAGAGCTCCCACCCGCGCCCATGGCCGTGCTCTGTGCTGCGGCGGCGAGGCGGCGGGCGGCGGGGTGTGCGAGCGTGTGTGTTCTCGAGCGGCTGGACGCTGGAGGCGGGCGGCGCTTTGGGTGGTGCTCACGATTGCGGGTCCTCGTAACACGCGAGCTCGGCTTCTTGTTTTCTTTTTGCGTTTAGTGCTAGATCGCGCCAGTCCGCACCTGTGTCGAGCCTGTCTGCTGTGTGAGAGAGAGAGAGAGTTGTCGTTGTAAAATTCTTTCCCTGGGGTGGAGGGAACGAGTACACGAGATGAGTAGATAGAACTCCCTTGACCTTGATTGAGCACTTGTCACTTGAGCACGGATAGGGTCGATTCCAAAACCTGAGGGAGGGTGTAGAGGATGTAGAGTGTAGAGCGCTGTAGAGCTGTAGAGATGTAGCGCTCTGGAGCGCTGTAGAGCTCTAGAGCTCTACATCCGGCGCGGGACGGACTGCCTGCGTTGAGAGCGATGTACTAAAAATCTCTCTCTCGAGGCTCTCTACAACGTGAAATCTCTACAACAAACTCTACATCGTAAGCGGCGAACGAGGCACGGTCGCTCTCCGACATGAGGCGCGTTGCACTTGCCAGTGCTGCGCTGGCCTTCTGTCTGCCTGCCCAATGGGTGGCAGATGCCTCTGCTGCTGTGGCATGCCTCACGGCTGCGACTGGCCGGCGCCTCGGCGCGTCAGCTCGGCTCGGCGCAGCGATCGTGGCCAGCGCAACTCGCCTGGACTCAACGCTCAGCCACGAGCTCGCGCACGCGCTGGCGCGAGGCATGGCGCATGCAACGCTCCAACAATGACCGTCCTCGCAGCCGACAGTCCACCGCCTGCTAAAGAAGCACTGTGCGACGAATGCGGCACCGGCGACGCATGGCAGGCTGGTCATGACGCAGTTATAGGGTGTTGTGTGTCGTCAGAGTGACTCTCTGTGTGTCAGGGATAGTCAGGGCCGTCAATCAGAGCTCCAGTAAGCTCGGAGACACCCCATTAGTGCGACTCGACCTCTTTGAGTCACTGCCTTCCCGGCGGGTTGGCTGTAGAGCCTCTACAACAAACTCTACAGCAAAATCGCGCTCTACATCGCTCTACAACGCAGGCGCATCGTCACGCGGCGGATGTAGAGCTCTACAGCTCTACAGCGCTCCAGATGTACCAGAGCGCTCTACATCTCTACAGCTCTACAGCGCTCTACACTCCATCCTCTACACCCTCCCCCTCAGTCCAAAACACAACAATCCCTCTCTCGATTCCGCATGGTACGTGGGACCCCTTGACCTTGTTCATATAGAATTTACAACAATTAGAGTTGTTTGGTATTGTAAAATCTCTCTCTCTAGTCTCTAGAAATCTTACAAACAAATGCTAGAAATCTTTCCAAATGTCACTGTCAGTGCAAACCAAATACCAAATCATGTGTGGGTGTTAGAGTTGTTTGGCATTGCTAAAAATCTCTCTCTTTCTCTGTCAGTGCCGAAATTCTTGTTGGCTTCTAAAAATCTCTCTCTCTAGAATCTTGGAGCACTTGGAGTGCAGTCAGTAACCGCACATCCAGGGCCAGGGGGCTAAGAAGCACACCCAGGCGGCGGGCCAGATGATTGGCATCGGGTTGCGGGCAAGAGAGCCCTAGGCCTAGCCCTGGGGGGTGCGCTAGAATCGGAGATACTGAATCGGAACAAAACGAATTTGTTTGGTATTGCTAAAAATCTCTCTCTCTAGAATCGGTGGGTCGCTCAGAGGGGACACAAACAAATCTCTCTCTCTCTCTCTCTCTCTCTCTCTCTCTCTCTCTCTCGTCGGGCCGAAGCCCGTCAGGCACTCTCTCCCTAACCCTAGCCTTCTCCCGAACCCTAGTGTGTGTTGGTTGCCTCTGTGCTTTCACATCTCGCCCCGTCGTGTCCGTCCCATTGTGATTGCGGACGTCCCCGACTACGTCGTCTCTAGAGAACGATACAACCCCCTTCTGGTGTCGACCGCGCCCCTCGCGGGGGCACGGCCGAACGTGGTAGCGTCAACTGGTCACGACCAGCACTTTGGGGGAGTACCTTCACGCTATCCCAGACATGCCCGACTCCCTGGCCGAGGACCTCGGGGAGGTCCCTGCCAAGGATGTCGCAACTTATGCATCCTCTCTCTCTCTCTCTCTCTCTCTCTCTCTCTCTCTCTCTCTCTCTCTCTCTCTCTCTCTCTCTCTCTCTCTCTCTCTCTCTCTCTCTCTCTCTCTCTCTCTCTCATCGCAGGCATCGTGCTCGTAGCGAGGAGGTAAAATCTCTCTCTCGCAGCATCACAGCCACTGAGTCTGCACGCCGTCCGGCGTTTTCATCTGTTGTGGTTACGGAGTGAGGAGGGAGGGGGGAGAGAGAGGTCAGGGGACTTCAAAGGGAGTGTGATATTAGAAAAAAGAAAGAAAACAGACAACCCAAGGGAGGGATGGGAGGACGGCAAGACGGATTATAGTTCTTATTTCTTTATTTCGTCGCCCGCGCCTCGCCTGTCGCGTGAAAAAGAAAGAAAGAAAGAAAACACACAACCCAAGGGAGGGATGGGAGAACGGCACGCCGCCACCACACAGGGATTTTAAGGAGAGGAGGGTGTGATGCGCTAGCCGTCGCCCATCCTGGGGGTCTGCCTCCTCGTATCTCTTTTCGCAGTCTCTCGCCGCTTCTCGCTGCAACCTTCATGCCACCTCGCGTGAATCGTGTCGTGCGAGGGCCAAAAATTCTTTATTTCGCCCGCGGCCACGACGCGGAGAGCAGCGACAGACAGCGACACGACATGCCCTCGACCAGCGCTCCACCGACGCTGCTCCAGGCGCTCACCGCCATCTGCACGCGGGCGCTCGAGGCCAGCTTCCCCGGCATCAGCTGCGCCATCCACGTGGCGCCCAGCACCAAGGGCGCGCACTATCAGAACAACACCGCGATGCCGCTCTTCAAGGCGCTCAAGGACGCGGGCCGCTCGGCCGAGGCGGCGAGCCCCAAGGCCGTCGCCGAGAAGCTCGCGGCGCAGATGACCGCCTGCGACACCGACGGGCTGCTTGCGCGGTGTGAGGTGGCCGGCCCTGGCTTCATCAACATCTTTGTCGCGCCGGCGTACCTCGAGTCGACCGTCAACTCGATCCTGCGGCACGGCCCGATGCCGCCGCCCTGTGCTCCCAAGCGGGTGGTGGTCGACTTCTCCTCGCCAAACGTGGCCAAGGAGATGCACGTCGGCCACCTGCGCTCCACCATCATCGGCGCGGCGCTCTCACCGCCCCTCCGCGCTCCCTCCCCTCCGCGCTGCCGTCCTCGCTCTCCACACGCGGCTGCGGCGCGCGCAGGCCGCTCGCCTCACCTCCCGCCCGCGGCGCGGCCCGGCGGCAGGCGACACCATCTCGCGGCTGCTCGAGTTTTGCGGCCACCGGGTCGACCGGGTGAACCACGTGGGCGACTGGGGCACGCAGTTCGGCATGCTGATCGGCCACCTGAAGAACGTCTTCCCCGACTACGCCACTAAGCCGCCGCCGATCGGCGACCTGCAGCAGTTCTACAAGGACGCCAAGAAGGTCTTCGACGACGACGAGGCCTTCAAGAAGGTTGCGCACGCCGAGGTCGTGCGGCTGCAGGCGAGATGTAGCCGAGATGCCGCCGAGGTGTCGCCGAGATCTCGCCGAGGTCGTGCGGGCGGCGCGACTCGCGCCTCGCGAGACGGACACGTCCAGGACACGTCCTTAGCCCTGTCCCCGTCAGGCGGGCGACGCGGACTCGCGCTTCGCGTGGCGGCAGATCTGCGAGGTGTCGCGCCGCGAGTTCGAGAAGGTGTACTCGCGGCTGCAGGTCGAGCTGGAGGAGGTTGGCGAGTCCTTTTACAACGAGTACATCCCGCCCGTTATCCGCCACCTCACCGAGATCGGCGTCGCGCACGACTCGGACGGCGCGATGGTCCTCTTCCCGCCCGGCACCAAGCACGAGCAGCCGCTCATCGTGCGGAAGAGCGACGGCGGCTTCGGGTACGACTCGACCGACATGGCCGCCGTCTGGTACCGGCTGCTCGAGCTGCAGGCGGACTGGCTCGTCTACGTGACCGACGCGGGCCAGTCGCAGCACTTCGAGCTCATCTTTGCGGCGGCGCGCCAGGCGGGGTGGGTGGGCGACAAGCGGCTCGACCACTGCCCGTTCGGCCTCGTCTGCGGCGACGACGGCAAGAAGTTCAAGACGCGCTCCGGCGACGCCACGCGGCTGGTCGACCGACTCCTCGACGGCGCTTCTCGGAGCCTGCTCGGCACCTCCCTGTAGGCGAGGTCACGCGGCTGGTCGACCTGCTCGACGAGGCGGTGACGCGGATGGAGGCGACGCTGCGCGAGCGGTGGAGGCTTTCGCGAGGTGGCCGCCTCCGCCTCGGCGCCGCGTCGGAGCCGCGCCGGAGCCTTCCTGTAGGTGGGACGCAGACGTGGCTGCGGGGAAGCTCGAGCCGTACACGGACGAGGAGCTCCTCGAGACGGCGCGCGTGATGGGGTACGGCGCCGTCAAGTACGCAGACCTCAAGGGCGGCCGCGTCAACGACTACATCTTCTCGTACGAGCGGATGCTCGACGACAAGGGCGGCGCTGACCGCCCGCTCACCGCCCGCTCGCCGCGCCGGCGAGAGCGTGTTGCGTGCGCGTAGGCAACACCGCTGTCTACCTGCTCTACGCCGGCGCGCGCCTCTCGTCCATCCAGCGAAAGGCGGCCGCCACGAGCGGCGCCTCTGCCGCCGAACTCGTCGCCTCGGGCGCCGGCGTCGCGCTGAGCATGCCGACCGAGCTCGAGCTCGCGCTGGCGCTGGCGCGCTTCGGCGAGACGGTCGAGTTCACCACGCAGACGCTGCTGCCCAACAAGCTCTGCGAGTACGTCCACGACGTGTGCGTCAAGTTCACCGCCTTTTACCTGGAGTGCAAGGTGATCGAGGAGGACGCCGTCAACCAGTCGCGGCTGCTGCTCGTGCGCGCCGCGCAGCTCGTCATCAAAAAGGCGAACGAGCTCCTCGGCATCGGCTACGTCGACAAGGTCTAATGCGGCTGCGCGGGTGCTCGCGGGCGGTGCTGTCGGCAGCTACTGGCTTTGGGCCTTTGGCGGTCTGGGAGGGGCGCGCGAGTGGCCGGCGGGGAGAGTCGCTCCGGCGTCTCGTTGAGTCTCCACCCGCCCAGTCGTCAACCAAGTACGGTACCCAGGTGTGCTCCGGCAGCCCGTGTGTGTGTGTTGAGCGGCCCAGTGGCGGTGGCCGATTGGGGGCGCCGCGGTGGCACCTCGGTCCTCGTCGCTGAGTCAAGACCTTGCCGCTTGGGCTAGACCTTGCCGCGCCTTGCGGTGACGACCGCGGGGGCGCAGCTGCCAGAGCCGAGCGCTCCTGCGCCTCTCGCCGCCTGCAAGCCATGCTGGTTGCTGCAAGGTGCAAGCTGCATCGGCGCCGGCTGCCTGCCAGCGGCACCGGCAGCGCGGCCGCTGTGCGGGTGCGGCGCGGGCGCCGTGCGGGCCCGTGGCCGTGCCCAGAGATCTATAGCTGCACAATTTTGATACATGTCCACGCGACCACGAACGCCACCTCTTTACTCAAGAGAGGGGGGGTGTCCGGCGGTGCATGCTCGTCGCTCCACGCAGGTCACTCGAGGGGTCTCGCAGCCGACGCAGCCCGCCCCCCCCGCCGGGACAAAACGTAAAGTTAAAGACAGTGGCCGGCGCCCCGTGTCGGGTCCACTGAGCGTGGCGCGCGGGCAGCAGTCCACATCACATTACGCTCCCCGCAATCACTTGGTCCAAGCCTCCCTCTCGTCGCGATATGCCGGCATCGGCGCCAGGAGACATCTCCCCGGCCCCTCCCCGCTCGCAGCGAGGCGCGCGCCCCGTCGGCCGCTCACTCGTCCTTGGAGTCGTCGAGGGGGCACCCGTACTTCATCGCCTTGAGGTGCGCCTCGATCTGCGCCTGCAGCTCGAGCAGCTGCCCCACCGCCTCCTCGCGCGCCTCGGCGTTGAGCGACAGGTCCTTGCGCGTCGTCGCCTCGGCCAGGTCGAGCTCGGAGCCGTCGGCGAGCTGAGGGTTCGGGGCTGGGGGTAAACGGCGAGCCGACGCGAGGCTGCTCGCGCGTAGGGATGGGGAGGCGGTGCGGGGCGCTCTGCGCGAGAAGCGCGCAGGCGGTGGGCGGTGCGGCGGAGGCGCGGCGGAGGCGCGGGGCGCGCCTCGAGCACGACGGCGGCGGATCGACCTCGCTTGCCCGCCTGGGCGGTGAGGGGGCGGTGGCGGGGCGGAGTGAGCCGCCCACCCGAATAGGAGGGTGGGAGCGGCTGGGCAGGGGAGGTAGGACGCTGCTCTGCGGCGAGTGCCTCTCGCCTTTGCTTTGACGGTGTTGAGCAGGTTGATCGGCGAGCCGTTGGCAGAGAGCATCACCTCACCGTTGCGGACGAAGCGGGGGGTCTCGTGCATCCGCGGCGTCATCATGCCCGCCGTCGAGCTGCGCGACGTCGAGCAGCCCGCCCCCACCGACGGGGTGGCGCACGCGCCGCCCGGAGTCGCGGCCGTGCGCGCACGCGTCGACCTGCTTGCGGACGGGGTGGCGGCGGCTCCGGCGGCGGGGGCGGCGGCGCGCCTCGACGAGGCGCGCCTCGCGCCCGCGTCCGCGTCGCCGCCCGCCTTGGGGCGGGCCAGGCGCGGCGGCTGCATCATCGGCGGCGGCATCAGCTCGGCGGCCGAGCTCGACGCCTTGCTGCGCTTGGCGACGTGCTGTATGGCCTGCTCGACGTCGCCGCCGCACTCGTCGCAGAACTCCCCCACCGTCATGCTGCGCACCGCGAGCGGCAGCTTCAGCAGCTCCATGCGGGCCTCCGACTCGTACTTGAGGCCGAGCCGCTGCGTCAGCGCCCGCATCTGCGCAACCTTGTCGTTGTACTCAATCTCGAGCTCCTCGAGGAAGGACTCGTCGCACGCGGCCGCGGCGGCGTCCTCCGCGGGCACCACGCCGCCGCGGAGGGAGGCGGCCGAGAGCGGCTGCGTCGTCGCGAGCATTTCGAGAGCGAGAGAGCGACGAGCGAGAGAGCGGAGAGAGCAGAGAGCAGCGCGAGCTCTTTGAAATGCCCCCGGGGCGAAAAAGAATTTTATCAAGCCTGACATAAGCGATCACGTCCTTGCGAGCCGCCCCCCGGCTCTGCGCCTGCGCGCTCAAACGCTCCTCTTTCGGAACCCCCTGTTCAAGTAGGGGGAGATCCCACGATTATCCCACCCGTGTTATGTTGTACCCGTGAGCCACTTTGCGCCTTTGGGGTTCTCGCTCCGAGAGCGACGGCAGGGCGAGCTTTGAAAGCGCATGCCTCTTCCTTTCTTTCTGGCGGCGTGGCGGCGTGCGTGCTAGGCTGCTGGGTAGTCTGAGGGCCCAACAGGAGAATCGTGCTTTCAGTGGGGTTGTTTGGTGTTGGGTTGGGTTGGTTGGGTCGGGTTGGGTTGTTCCGCGTGAGGTTGGGTCGTCGGCGCGAAGGGTGAGGTCTCGACCGCCGCCGCTCACGCCAGCGGACGGCCACCATCGGTGTTTTTGGCTTCGCCACCGTTTTCAAAGCGTGCGCAATGGCGCTCGCCGGCATCGAGCGAGCACGCCTGTCCGACGAGCGGCTTGCTGTGTGGACGCCTTCTTGTGGCTCTCGCCGAGAGCGTTTTGCGTCCCGGCGGGTGGGAGAATATGTGTCGTCTGATGTGTCACTGTGTGCGTCACATCAGTCTTGATAGCAAGCACGGTCGATCCGTCAAAGCGATACACTCGACACTCGTTCCTCTCACATATTCTCCCACCCACCGGGACGCAAAACGCTCTCGGCGAGAGCCACAAGAAGGCGTCCACACAGCAAGCCACTCGTCGGACAGACGTGCTCGCTCGATGCCGGCGAGCGCATTGCGCACGCCTTGGACGGTGGCGAAGCCAAAAACACCGATGGTGGCCGTCCGCTGGCGTGAGCGGCGGCGGTCGAGCCTCACCCTTCGCGCCGACGACCCAACCTTACGCGGAACAACCCAACCCAGGCCCACAACCCAACCCAACCCAAAAAGCACGATTCTCCTGTTAGGCCCTCAGTCTTCTCTTTCTTTCTTTGGTGCGCGGGGGAAAGGAGAGATTCGGCAGGCGTTTTCTTTCGATCCAGGGCGAGAGAGGTGATGAGAGGCGAGCGGGCCCTTTGAAAGCGAGCAGCGCGAAAATAAATAAAACGAGTTTGCCAACCTGGTGCCAACAGCACTGGTGCACTGCGGTCATTTTTGGGCGACCTGCGACCAGCGCCCGACTTTCCCTCCGACCTGACCGCACCCCGCCTCTCCCGCCTCCCTCCCGAGTCTCCCTTATTTCGCGCGAGGCCGCCGCCCTGGCCGCCAATGCAGAACGGCGCCGGCGTCGGCGCCGGCTCGTCCTCCTCCGGCCTCGGCGAGGCGGCGGCTTTCTCAGACGACGACGACGAGCGAGAACGGCGCTCGTCGTTCGAGCGGCTGATCGAGGAGCTCGGCAAGGCCGAGGGCGGGGGGCTCAACCTGCGCCGTCCCTTGGGGGCGAGGGCCGCGGCTGCGGCGGAGCCGCCGCTCGAGGTCCGGACCGTCACCTTTGCCGCCGCCGACGCCGCGGCGGTGGAGGGCGGCGCGGGCGGCGCCTTCCCGGAGCGCGCGGTGGAGGCGGCGCCGCGCGCCTCCGCCCTGACCGCGGCCCTCAAGGAGAGGGGGCCCGCCGGCGCCGGCGCCGGCCTCACGCTGCGCATCCACGCCGCCGGCCACGCGGCGCCGCTCGTGCTCCACGTGTCGGAGCACAGCACGATCCACCAGACGATCAGCCTCGCCCTGGCGGCGCTGCCGGGAGGCGAGGCGTCGAGCGCGCACGCGCACGAGCTGCTCATGGCCGAGCCCGACGGCGAGCCCGACGACGACCTCCCTCCCCTCTCCCGCGAGCAGCGGGTCGGACTCTTCGGCCACGACGTCTTTGCGCTGCGGCCGGCCGCCGCGCCGAGCGCGTCGGCGTCGCCGCCCTCGCCGCCCTCGCCCGCCTCGTCGTCGCTGGTGCGCGTGTGGCTGCCGCGCGGCCTCGCCACCGGCGCCGAGGGCCGCTCCGTCTCGGTCAAGGCGGACGCCGGGCGGACGGTGCGCGAGGTGCTGGCGGAGGTGCGATCTCGGCTGTACCTCGGCTGCACCTCGCCACTCCCCCGCGGCGCGAGGCTCTCGCTCCTCTCCCGCCGGAGCAGCACACTCGTGACCACGCCGCGCCAGCCCCACGCCCGCCGCCCCTCCGAGCCGACCCCACGCCCGCGGCACGGCCCGCCCGTGCGCCCCAGGCCCAAGCCCGACCCTTGCCAGCCTGGCAGCCGACCCTGGCAGCCGACCCTTGCCAGCCTGGCAGCCGACCCTGGCAGCCGACCCTTCCCAGCCCTGGCAGGTGTGCCTCAAGCCGCACGTGATGCTCGACCCGACCCGCCACCTCCTCGCGCCCCGCGCCCCGTCGCCTGCGCGCGGGGCGACGCTCCTCGACCGAAAGGCGGGCGGCGGCGGCAGGCCGCTCGACGAGGCGGCCACTCTCGGCTCGCTCGGCCTCGAGCGGCGGAGGGGCGGCCGCGCGGAGCTGGAGCTGCGCCGCCGCGTCTACGCCGACAACCCGCTCCCGCGCCGGCGCCGCTCGTCGGCGGCTCTGGCGGGGCACGCGGAGGGCAGGCGGGGCGGGGAGCTCTGCCCGTCCGAGTTTGTCTTTTCGGACGCGACGGCGAGCCTGTACAAGGAGTTTGAGGTGGTCAAGGTCGGCCGGCGGGGCCAGAGGCAGCAGCGCGTGCTCGGTCAGCCCCCCGCGCCGCCGCCGCCGCCGCCGCCGCCTTTCGCCGGGCTTCTCTCAGCCCTCGCGCCGACCTTCAGGCATCGACCGGCAGCGTCTCTACCACATCGCGCGCGGCGACGACGACGAGGGCAGGGCGGACGGGCTGCGCCGGTGGGGCCTCGGCACGCTCGGCCTCGGCTGGGCGGCGCCGGGCGGGATCAAGCACCCGTCGCACTTGCTCAGCGACGTGGCGGACGCCGCCCTCGGCGGCGAGCCGTGCGCGTTTGTGCTCGCCATCCGCGACCCGCTCGAGCAACCCGCGCGCTGCAAGGAGCACTGGTACGAGGCGGCGACCAAGCACGAGGCGGCGGAGATCGTCGCGAAGATCCAGTTCCTCATCAAGCTGCACTCGGAGTCGCTCAAGCTGAGCGGCGGCCCCGCGGCGGGCGCGCACAGCCACACCGACGGCTTTGCGCTCGGGGCGGCCAGCGGCCCGACCACGTGACGACGTGACCAGGATTCCTGGATACGCGCACCCTCCCCCGAGCCTCGAGCCTCGGTACTACGTAGAGTCAAGAGTGTGTCGGAGTGGTCCAGTGCTACGTCGGAAGCCCATACCAATACATGCATAGTTGTCGACGCCTCGCGGACACCATAACACACTGCGCCGCGAGGGTTTCACAAAAACACTGCGCAAAAAAAACGCGAGCCGTCTCTCAGGAACTGCGGGGCGTCCCAACGTCGCTTGCGGGGCCAACCTCGTCCCCGTGCGCGGGGGCGCCGATCCACTGTCCAAACGCGCGGCCCCACCGCTCGAGCGCGCCCGCCTTTGCGTGCACCCATTCGCCCTGCACCTGCATCGCCCGCGCCACGGGCTGGAGGGCGACGTCGGCAGCGGCGCCAAAGTCGGACGGAGTCTCGAAGCCGAGCCCGTAGCGCGCGCCCAGCACGGCGGCCGCCGCGGAGCCGAGCGACAGCGCGGTGCCCCAGCCCAGCGCCCGCGCGGCGGTGCGCATGGCGAGCGCCTCCGCCTGCGCCGTCGGAGGCTTCTCGCCCGACTTTTCGAGCACGTCGAGCGCGGCAGACGTGTCGAACGTGCGCATGCCGAGCGCGACACCACCCGCGAGCGCGAGCGCCGAGACGGCCGCGTAGCCCGCGAAGAATAGCCTGGAGACCCGGGCATCCGCCGGCGTCAGCGGCGCGTCCCAGTCGATCTGCTGCGGCCAGTCGTCGTCGCCCAGAGGCTTCGGCTTTGCCGCGCCGCGCACGCCGAGCCACACGGACGGCCCGACCACCGCGACGACGCTGGCCCCGGTGAGGATGAGACCGTCGCGGCTGATTCGCATCATCGGCAAGCAGCGCGCGCTGGAGGCGTGACGGCGTCGCCGTCTTCTTTCTTCATTGAGCCGAGAAGAAAAGAAAGAGGGCCGCTACCAAACCCGAGTACCGGTCTCCTAAGCATAGATAGAGGCTCAAGTGATAATAAATAAGTACACACATGACGACATACACATACAAGAAAGAAGGAAAATCTCTCTCCACATACACATACACAAATCATATCTCTCACGACACACGGGCACCCGGGCACCGGGTGGAGCGGCGGCGGCGGCGGCAGCAGCACGCGCGGGCGGATGGATTCGGACGGGGCGGAGCAGCGACCGCCTGGGCGGCCGCTGCTCTGTCTGCCAGAGCGCGCCGTCTGCGCAGCTCGAGCGTGGTCAGGTGCAGGGAAGCGTGGCGGCGCGGGGACGCCCGTTAATTCTGCTTTGGCGCCAAAGCTTGTGACGAGTTTTGCCACGAAAAGTCTGCCTCTGCTAAATCCTAAAAGGGGGCTACTGGGGCGGCCAAATTCACACCTACCTCGCAACCCTGTCTGCCTGCACGTCTCGCGCGCGCGTGAACAGGGCTCCAGGCCCCAAATGACGTGTGAGTGTTAGAGTTGTTTGGGGGAGATTGCTAAAAATCTCTCTCTCTCTCCTACCTCGCGGGACTACTTATGTTTTCGTAAACGTAGTCGTGGCCCCCCGCTACGTCGCACGACTGCGACTGGGTAGCGGGGGGCTACAACCAGCATCCGAGGGGGACAGGGTCCCCCAAAACACACAACCCAAGGGACTACACGAAACGATTTCTTCTGGTCGCCGACTCCTCTCGGCCGGTTGCTTGGTCGTCGAGGAGAGAAGGTGAGCACCACCACGGACCCGCTGGCTCGGACATGCCGCGGCCGCGCGCTACGATCGCCGTGCCTCTGCTCCTGTCCCTCGCGGGCGCGGCCGCGCACGACCACGACTGTGTCCACGACAAGGTCCGCGCCCGCGCGCCCGCTCCGGTCGTGGTTCCACAGTCGCCTTTGGCACAGCGGCGGCGCGGGCGGCGGCGGCTGGAGGCTGCCCCGCCGGCGCTCCGCATCCTATTCGACACCGACACGCTCGTATCGGACGAGCGCTCGTGCCGAGCAGCGGGCCAGGTGGTTGCTGTGGGCGACTCTCACGGCTCACCGTGCGGGCCGAGCTCCGCCGACGACTGCGACTACACGTGCCGCGGGAATGACGTGTTGCGGGAGAGCCACACGGCGCGCCTGACGCAGGAGCTGCTGCCGGCGGTGGCCGGCTGGTTCGGCGCCGCCTTCGACTTTCGCGACCACATCCCGCGCCCCGAGCGCCTCGTCGTCGACGCGAGCCGCGAGTGTGGCTTCGGCGGGCCGGTTCGGATCCCGTCGGACCTGGGCTCGCCCGGCAAGCGGGACGCCGACCTGATCGTGCTGGTGACGGTGCGGCCGATGGCGCCCGGCTCGGCGACGCTCGCCTTCGCCGGCTACTGCCAGACCGACGAGGGGACGCCCTCGATCGCCACCGAGAGCGGCGTCCACCGCTCGTCGAGCCCCCGACCTCTCCTGGACGTGTCCATTGACGCGGGGACGTGCCCCACAGGCGTGCCGTACTCGCCGCGCCGGCCCATCCTCGGCCACGTCAACATCCGGCCGAGCGTGCTCACGGGGATGGCGGAGGAGGAGTGGGGATCGCCGGCGGCCGTCGACCGGCTGATGAAGCTGCTGCTGCACGAGGTCTTGCACGAGGTCGGCAATCCCCTCTTCGTGGGCCCTTCCTGGACACGTCCTGGGCCCTCCCTGTAGGTCTTCCACGTGCTCGGCTTCACCGCGGACAAGCTCGCCGAGTGGCCCTGCCCGCGCACGCCCCTCTTCAACCGGCACCAGAGGTACGACTGGCGGCCGAGGGACTGCCCCGCGGCGGGAGGCGTCCCCGGCGTCGAGCCGGTCGGAACCTTCCGCCGGGAGCACAACGGAGCGGCATACGAGGTGCGGGGCGTGCGCACGCCGGTCGTGCTCGCAAAGGCGCGGCACCACTTCGACTGCCGCTGCGGAGACGCCGGAGAGAGCGACTGCATCGAGTGCGCCTCCCCCGACTCTGGCGCGGCATGTCCGCGAGGCGAGTGAGACATGTTCTGGACACGGCCTCGCAGGTACATCTCTCTCGAGGACTCGGGCGGCGAGGGCGCGGCGCCGGCGGAGCGGCAGGGCGGGCGGAGGGGGCGGCCTGAGGAGTGCGGCTTGCGTTTTGCGGTAGGCACGGCCTCGAGCCACTGGGAGAAGCGCGTGCTCTACAACGAGGTCATGTCGGGCACCGTCAACACGGCGAGCTGACCCGAAGCCGGACCCAAACCCAAGCCCGAGCCCGAACCCGACCCCTACCCCTAAACCACCCTACCCCTAAACCGAACCGCCTCCTGCGCAGCAGAGCTGCACCGCCCCTCCTGGCCTCCGTCCTCTCCGCCGCCCCTCTGCCTCTTCTCCTCTCGGGCCGCCCCGCCTCGGCTGCGGACGGTGCCCCACCTCCTTCTCCCCGCCGCAGGCCACCTCGCCCATCTCCAACATCACGCTCGCCCTATTTGAGGACTCGGGCTGGTTTCGGCCAAACTACGGCGTCGCGGCGCGCGAGTGCTTTAACAAGAGGCAGTACTGGTTCCTTTGCGAATCACTTAATGAGTTATCACTAGGCGCCCGAGTGCTTCTTCGACCCCTCCTGGTGCGGCCTGCCGGGCGGGGAGGGGACGCGGCCTCGCAAGCCGCTGCTCTGGGGAGCGGGGCGCGGCTGCGGCTTTGTGATGGGCGCGTGCGACGGAGACGCGTGGCGGGGCGACTTGGGCTACTTCTGCACCGACTACAGCCACGCGCGCGGCTGCACGGTCGGGCGGCGCGCCGTCGGCCGCTGCTCGCGCATGGTCTACTCGGCGGATCTGCCGCGACAGTTCCAGTACTTTGCCGACGCGCGCGTGGGCGGGCAGCGCTCCGAGGACTATTGCCCGGTGTGGGAGGCCTTCTCAAACTACGGCTGCGGCGAGGGCGGCGAGGAGGGGGCGGACATGGCGAGGCTCAAGGCGGCACAGCGCGGCGAGGCGCGCTGCGAGGGGTGCCGCTGCGCCGCGACCACGCTGTGCAACTTGTCGCACTCGGACTGCGGCGCCGGGCGCGAGTTTGGCTGCTACGAGCACCGCTGCCTCTCGCCCACGCGGCTGCAGATGCGGGTCGGCAACACGTGGTTCGACTGCGCCGAGCAGCCGACGCCGAGCCGCATCTCGCTGCCCGGCTACGCGGGCGAGCTCGAGTGCCCGCCCGCCGCGGAGTTGTGCGCGAGCGCGGCCGAGCTAGGCTGGCCCGACCTCCGCTCCGTCGAGCCCGCGTCGGGGCCGGCCGGCGGCGGGACCGTCGTCACCATCCGCGGCGCCGACTTGGGCGCGGCCGACTCGCGCGTGGTCCTCTGCGGCGTCGAGGCGTCGGGGGTGCGCCCGCTCAACGTGAGCGACGTTGGCGGCGGCTTGCGGGCTAGGCTGGGCGCGCTCGTCGACTCGGACGGCGCCGAGGTGCTCGGAGACACCTCGTGCAACGTGCGCGTCTCGCGCAGCGGCGGGCGGTACGACGAGCTCACCGCGGCCTTTGTGTACGTCGGCCCGCCCGCGCCGCCGCCGGCGCAGGAGCCGGTCGACCTCTCGGGCGGCTGGACCTCGCAGAAGGTCCTCTCGGTCTCGCTGCGCATCTGGCCGTACGTGATGACCGGGCTGACGGTGCTGCTCACGCTCAACTGGTGCTACGTCATTGTCACGCAGTGCCGGGCGCAGTCGCGGATCGCGAAGGCGTACGGCGGCGGCGGCGGCTTCGTCCGCCAGGGCTCGAGCAGCCGGCTGCGCCGGCGGGGCAGCAGGGCGCGGCCCGACCCCGGGTTTGGAGGCATCGAGACCGCAGCGTCCGGAGAGGCGGTGGACTGGGACTGACGGGTCACCTAAAATGTAGTACGTTTCGAGGGTGGTATGCGCACCTTTTCGGGGGTTCACGCGCGCGCGAGACGTGCAGGCTGCAGGGCCTGGGGTTGCCAGGTAATCGGGCGGTTCACGCAAAACACCCTCTTGAAACACTTTGGAACAACAAAAACAAAAAATGCCGGTGCAAACACGAACGAGGGAAGAAGGGAGAAGGACAGATCGAGTCCACTTGGAGCCAGGCAGATTTTTCTTCTTCCTCGAGTCGCTTAGGCGGCTCCGGTGGTGAGCCGGTGTGTGTGCCAGTCCGCGCCAGTCCGCGCCCTTGTCGTGCCAGTGTGCTGTGAGAGAGGCTGTGGGTGGAGAATTCTTCCTCGCAACGATGAGCGCCGGCTCTCAGTTTCGCGCCGCTCGGTGGTTTGTCCTGAGCCTGCTGTCGACCCGCAGCCTCGCACTCGCGCCACCCGCCGCCGCCGGCCCTGCGAGTGCGATCGTCAGCCTTCCGCGCCGCTCGGCCGGCGGCCGATGCGCTGCAACGAGCGGCGACTCGACGCTGCAGCTCTCCGCCATGGACCCGCGCGTGGTGAGCGTGACGCTGGACAAGGTGACCGGCATCGACTTTGGCTGCGACCTGTCGCTCTGCTGGCCCTACGTGCTGAGCCTCACGCCTGGGGGCGCCGCCGAGCGCCTCGGAGAGCTCCGCGTCGGCGACCAGCTGCTGACTGTCTCGGGCGAGTCGGTCGTGGGGCGGCCTGTGGCCGAGGCAATGTCCGCCATCGCCGCGGCGGAGGGCTCGCAGGTCTCGATGGTCTTCTTCCGCGGCTCGAGGGAGTCGCTGCAGGCGCTCTGTGATGTCGCGCGCGGGCCAGCCACCGTCACGCTCACGCTGCAGCGACCGGGACAGCCGGACGAGGTGCTGAGCTTGCCGTACGGCTGCAACCTGCGCGATGAGCTCGTCAAGCGCAAGATCAACGTCTACCAGTCGCTCACGCGGTGGACCAACTGCAACGGCAAGCAGCTCTGCGGCACCTGCATCGTCGACGTCCCCGAAGGGGTCGAGAGCTGCACGCGGCGATCGCTCGACGAGGCGTCGACGCTGCGCGAGAACCCGCCCACGTACAAGCTCGCCTGCATCACAAACCTCTACGGCGATGCCACCGTCAAGCTCATGCCCAAGGTGAATCCGGCGCAGTGGACGCGCTAGAGGGTGAGACGCTGTCGACCATTGTTGGTGATGGTGTGTAAATAACATGACACAGTTTATGAGGGTCCCTTTTCACTCATGTAAACGGCTGGTGATCTTCGTCCGTGCAACGCCGGACTCCACACGCCCAGGGGGGTTTTCTCGTCACTCCGGCGACGACGACGAAATCGTCGCTCGTCTCCGCAGAGCGACTGAGGGGCTCACGCAGGCTCCTCTGCAAACGCCCGCGCCGCGCAGAAGGGGGCTCTCGTCGTCATTGGTCACACTCTTCACAGAGAAATCGTGCTCGACAGCGTCTCCGCCCCAGCGCGAGCGCGGGAACGCGCACACCGCAGCCTCCCTCAGAGCGGGTTGCAGGCGAGACCCCGAGTCGTCAAAACAGTCACCGTAAGATGACAAGAACACCTGGCACCCACGCCACGGCGCGCGTCCGCCGTCCGCCCCCCCGCGCCGGCACACAGTTCCACGACGTCGCCCGATCTTGCGGGGGGCAGTGAGATGCCCGTCCCGAGAGACTCCAGTTGCAGCTGGTCGATGCCCGTACATTTTGGCCACAAAGACTCCTACCACGGGACCCTGCAACGCGCGCTCACGCAGCCGTGGGGTCTCCGGCGCCTTCCGAGCAGGAGAAGCGCTCGAAGAAGCGAAGCGGGTGTGCGTAGACGTCTTCCTTGATGGCCTCGCAGAACGCCTCGGCTTCTGCGAGGCCTGCACTCTCGGCCTGCCCCGTCCCAGACAGCAGGCACTTTGTGTCCCCGTTCGTCCAAGCAAACGCAGTCAGGAACGTGGCTGCCTCGCCATGCGGCGCCTCTTCCTCGCCACCACCACTCGAGGCGGCGGTCCATGCGATTGGAGTCGCCTCCATCGAGAGCGCCGCGTCCCCTGCATACCGCAGCGTCTTTTCGAGAATCGGGTTCGTGAAGAAGCGGTTCGCCGAGAAGGAGAGCGTGATCGTAAATCCCGCGTCGGTGTCGCTGAGCGCGCTAACCTCGAGCGCAGTAAGGTGCTCCAAGATGCTGGCGTCACGCGCGCTGATGTACTGCTCGAGCAGCGGGTGGCCCTGCAACGCACACATCCAAAAGCCCGGGATGCGTTTGGCCGCGACGCCGCGCTCTCGCAGGAGCGGCGCCCGCTGCTGCCGGCCCTCGCGCTCGAGGTCGGCGGCCCGCTTTGCGAAGGTGTCGTTGACGGCGTCGAGCCGCTCTTGCGCGTCCATGACGCAACGTAATGACGTGTCCATGCCGTCCCACAAGCTAACCGGAGAGGAGAGGAACGAGCGCGTGAAGACGCCGTGGGTCCGGGTCGTGTTTTTCTCCCTGCGCGCGGGCCTTCTAGGCCCGCGGGTAGTCTCCCCCCATCCCCAGGGCCTCCAGGGCTCGCACCTCAACCTCTCACAGACCAGCGCATAGCGCCATCGCACGTATTTTCTTCTCATAACAAGGCCTGTGAAGACGCCGCCCCGGCTGTCCATTCACAGACTCTCGACGTTCTATATCCTTGGCCGCGTTGGGTAGCGAGGATTGGTGTGACGCGGTCCACGTGTTTTCTGACGGCCGACCGTCAGTGCACGGACTTGGCCGACTTGCCCCTTCCACCAATGCGACAAACACGAGACCTAGCGCAAGGGTGGGTTGGATGGGGCTCGCTGCGAGCAAGGGCTGTGCAAGAAGCCGATCCCCGTATAGTCCGCCCCACTCCTCCCCATCGGGTCGCACAAGGCGGCCACGCCTCGCAGATTCGTTTCCCCCGCCTGGGTCAGGCGCGCGGGGCATCTCCCGGGTCGCTCGACATGCGATCCGGAGAGTGGCCGCTACAACTCGAGTATGCGAAGGAAAGAGCGGGGGCCCTCGGTCCGGCCCTCCGCGGGGGGAAGGGCATTGCGGGGTCCCCACGGGCGCCTCTGTCCGGCCCTCCCGAGGGCGGGAGGGGAGCAAGGGGGTGGGGGGATCGGGGCGGTGGGAGGGGTCTCAGTTTCGTGTGTTTTGCTACGCTTGCCTTTCGCGGGGAGCGAGGGGCCTTAGAACGTGTGCTAGCGCAGTGTGTGTGGCGCCCGCTCCGCGCTCGACGGCTTCCCCTGCCCTCCTCCCTCGAGGCAGCGAGCCAAAGAGCACACCTGTCATCTCACCGCTCCGTCAGGAGAGTGGCCCCTCCGATATATCGCGCCTGAGTAGAGCGCCGTCCCGGTATGTAGCGCGGTCCGCGGCGAACGTCGAACCTCGCTACATATCATCCGATGGGGAGGGGAGGGGTCTCACTCTCAGTTTCGTGTGGCTAAAAAAATTGCTTTAGAAGAAAAACGAGCACGCATATTCTCCCCCCTCCATTCTCTCCCCCTTGGCGCGGGCGCCCCACTCCCCCCAGCCCCTGTATCGCGTACTAGCTGTGGCTACCGTAGGCCACACTTGCGTCGCCGGGGGTTTCCTGCCCTAGGTGGGAAGCTGGCCGCCGATCCTAAGACCCATCGACCAGGGTTTGCTAGATCGCGCGGGGTGAATGAGTGATGAAGTTAGTGCCTTGGTGTCCGTTCCCCATAATGGCTTCCCCTGGTCTCTAGCGACCACGAATGAGAGCTCTCACTCCCAGGGTACTCCCGCGCATCTCGGCTCCCTTATCCCCCCCCTCTTCCCTCCCCTTTCTCTCTCCGAGATGACCCGTGCGCTACGTGCCAAGGTTCGGTCCTCGGGGAGGGGGGATTGGCGGTGTGTCCTCGTGAGTTGTTTGTCGATGGACGCCCAACAGTTTCGATTTCCCTCCTTAGCGCCCCGGGTAGAGCGTGGCCTCCCCTGGAGCCTGCCACGCCCGTTCTGTCTAAGCCCAGGGTTCAGCTTTCCAGTTGATCCTTATCGGACTGGTGAGTTCCTTCTCGCTGTCAGTGTGACGCCCCGGCAGTCATTGGCGGCGGTGCTACACACACTATGCCTGGATTCGTTTTCTCCAAAGGAGTGTTTTGTTTTGACAAGATTTTATGGGCTAGCTATCTCGCAGTACATGCGCACGAGCTTAGCGTATTGTTGCACTATGCACATAGCGGTTTAACAGGAAAGAAATTTTCGCCGTGCGGAAGCTCTCTTGTGTTGTAAGGCTGCTGTTTTCTCAGGGCGCGGGGGGTCGCGCAGTGGGCAGTGCGTGAGCAGCCGCGCGGGCGTGTGTGAGTGTATTAGCTTTCCAGTTGATCCTTATCGGACTGGTGAGTTCCCTCTCGCTGTCAGTGTGACGTCCAGGCAGTCATTGGCAGCGGTGCTACACACACTACGCCTTCATTCGTTTTCTCCAAGTAGGAAAGAAATTTTGTGTCTCGTCATGATGTTTTTCTTTTTTTGCTTATGGCAGTAAAAAGAAACGGAACTGTGTGCGACAGGCGCGGGCTCGGTCGATATCCAATACTTCGACTCACATGTTCACTGCTGCGGTGTGTGCCCGGGAAGGCGCGGCGGCGGGATGGATTGAGAAGGTCTCAGAGAGACTGCAGGCGTGCAGAGGCGCGCGCTGCAGTGTCTCTGATTGGGCTGCTGGCGGTGTGAGCGCGAGACGGCGTGGTGAGGCGAGGGGCAGGCTGTTGTTGCGGGGTGCGGGCAGCATCGTCGAGCGCAGTGCGTGTGGTGAGTGTGCAGGCAGGCTGGCAGTCTGTGCTGTAGACCGGAACGGATGAGCGGGCGCGCGCGCGCGCGCGCGTGCGGGCGTGCGTGCGCGGCTTGCGCGGTGCAGGACCTGCGTCGTACTCGCGGCGCGTCCTGGTACTGCCGCTTGTGAGATGCCAGAAGCAGTGTGCAGAGCCTGCACAGGGCGCAAAAAGGCGAGGTAGTGCTGGTGAGGTGTGCTGCGGTGCGCGCGTCGCGGCGTGAGTGGACGAGCGGCTGGCTCTGGTAGTGCGAGGGGCGCGCAGCTGGTGCGGGCGGCGCGGGACGGCCATGGGGCGCCAGCACAGGGCTTGCGCCCATGACACAGGCTTCTGGGCGATGCGCGTGTGTTTGCGTGCGCGCGGGGACGTACGCGCAGTTTTCACGCGGTGTGCGTGGAGAAGGGCATGAGGGGCGCCGGCCGCGCGCGCGGCTCGGCGTGTGCGAGTGCGTGGTTCGTGTGGTTCGGTGCCCGAAGGCGACTGACCAGTCTTGCTGCCATCGCGGAACGAAGGCTTTAGAAGAAAGGTGGGTTTCGTGTGGCTAATGCTTGCCTTCGGGGAGGGGCGTCAGAAAGTGTGCTAGCGCAGTCGAGTGCCGAGTGGCGCCCTGCCACACCTGCACCGTCACCGAGCTCCACCTCTCACCGCTCTACAACGCAAACACAATTGTTATTTCTGTCACAATACACGCAAAACACCCACGCGTGTTATCCGTGTTTTTTTGCGTCTGGAGATCCGCGCGCCCTCTGCTCTCTCTCGCTCCATGTCTCGCTCTCTCCCCGAGCCGACTCGGTCGCCGCTACACGGCGTCGGGCAAGCCGCCCTCGCGCCGTCTCGCGCCCCCAAGCTCGCCCTCGAGGATCTGGATGTGCTCCTATTCACAGCCGGGCCGCAAAGTGTGACGAGAGAGGAGGTGAGAACGCCACTCACGCAAGCGGCGCTGCGCGACGCTCCTCGAGTTCGCGAATCCGAGCGACGTAATCGTCGTGCTCCGCGTCGATGCGCTGCTTCACCAGCCCGCGCCGCCGCCGCTCCCACAAGCGGTTCCACCGCTTGAGCCCCGAGCCCCGCGGCCCGCGGCCCGCGGCGCCGTAAGCGCCCGTCAGCCGCTTGAGCAGCGCCACCCAGCCGCCCTCGCGCCACTCCTCGTCGACGGGCGCCATCTGCGGCGGGTCGCGCAAGTGGAGCACCTCATTCGCGACGAAAGTCTGGAAGCGGTCCGCGTAGAGCGGCGGCGGCATCGCCGAGATGCCGTCCGAGTCGGCATGCCTGCGGCGCACGAGGCTGGGTGAGAGGGAGGAGAAAGGCTTGCGGCCCCACCGCAGCCGCGCCGCATCGCGAGGCAGTACAACGCGCGGAGCACGATGCGCTGCAGCCGCCAGCGCAAGGAGAAGTGCTCGAGCACGTCGATGATGCCGAAGAAGTAGACCTTCTGCCGGTCGCGCGAGATGAAGGCGGTGCCGCCGCTCTGGCGAACGAGCTCCGCGAGCTGCGCGTGCCTGCGGGGGCGGGGCGCCTCGGCTCAGCGTGAGGGCGGCAGCGGCGGAGGGGGACGGGGAGGGGCGGCGGCTGGGGGGGGGGGGGGGGTGGCGGCGGCGGCGCGGCTCGCACTTTTGCTGCGGGAGCATCGTCGGTGGCGGGCGGTAGATGCCGAGGAGGAGGGAGTAGTCGAGCAGGCTGAGCCGGCGGAGCAGCGCCGTGTCTGCCGAGATGATCGACCAGAGCTCGTCGCGGTCTGCGGGCTCGAGGTCCGTAGCCATGCCGATGTCCATCCACTCCCAGTCGCGCAGCGTGTTGTAGATGTTGGAGACGGTGTTGGTCTGGTGCAGCTGCCACGCCTTGAGGGCGCGCCGGTTGGCGGTGGCCCCCTTGAGGTCGAATGAGAGCTGCGGCTTTGCGGGGAAGAAGTTGCGCATCACCACGAAATAGACCTTGCCCGCCCACGGCCAGCGCAGCCGCATCGAGTGGCAGGAGAGGTAGCGCAGCAGCGAGGCGCCGCCGCGCGCCTGCACGTGTTGCTTGTACGCCGGTAGGATGTGCATGAGCGCGTCCTTCTCGCGCCGCGTCACCTGCTTGACGATGTAGCCCGTGTCGCGCCCGTCGGTGTGCTTGACCCAGTAGAAGAAGGAGCCCGAGGCGCCTGCGCGTGCGGAGGCGGGGGGGCGAGCCTTGGCTCGGCGAGGCGGGGGGGCGAGGGGCGAGGGGCGCGATGCAACGGGCGAGATGGCGAGAAGGCGCGAGGGGCGAGGGGGCGCGAGGCCACCCTCCGAGACGGACTCGCCGAGCAGCCGGTAGGAGCGGCGCGACGGGTGCTGCAGCTCGGGCAGCAAGCTCGCGAAGGCGGCGGCGAACGCCTTCGGGCTGATGCCGAAGGCGGCGCGGATGGCGCGGAAGTGCGCGATGGCGTAGTGCTGCACGCGAGGGTTGAGGCTGTGCGAGAAGGCGAGGGTGCGGCGCGGCGTCTGCTGCAGCGCCGCGTGAGACAGCGGCACCTCCGCCGCTCGCTCGGGCGAGACGGGCCCACCCCCGGCTTGGGCACTGCCGTCAGAAGCCTGCGTCGGCGAGGCTTGCGCGGGCGGGGCTTCGGGCTGCGAGCTTTGCCGCGTCTCGCGCTCGGCCAGCTCGGAGATCGCCTTGGTCACGCCGAGGACGAGGTTGGGCGAGGTTGGGCGAGGTTGGGCGAGGTTGGCCGAGGTTGGGCGAGGTTGGGCGAGGTTGGGCGAGGTTGGGCGAGGTTGGGCGAGGTTGGGTGCGGTTGGGCGAGGTTGGCAGCAGATCGCCTTTGTGACGTCGAGGACGAGCTCATAGCGGAGCTCCTCCTTGAAGCCCGCCTACCAACACATGGCCGCGGACGCGTCGCGGACGTGTCGTGGGACGTGTCGTGGAGGGCGGCGCCTCCTTCGCCTCCGCCACGTGCGCCTTCGCCGCGCCCCATCCCGCCGCCTCCTTGCCGCCCTCGCCGCCGCCGGCCACGAGCGGCTCGGCGAGCGAGAGGCGTGCCTAGGGTTAGGGTTAGGGTTAGGGTTAGGGTTAGGGTTAGGGTTAGGCTCGGCGAGCGAGAGGCGTGCCATCGCGCGCGAGGAGGGCGCGCGAGAGCGGCCCTTAGCGCCGCACCGCTGCGGGACGCGGTTGATGAGCAGCCAGCCTACAGGAACGTTCCAGGAAAGGTCTAGGAAAGGTCTAGGAAAGGGACGCGGTTGATGAGCAGCTAGCTTGGCGGCGCGGGGACGGGGGCGGGGGGCGTGAGAGGCGGCGGGTGTGCGGCGCTCGTTTGAGCCGTGAGGGCCGTGCCAGCCGACACGCGGCCGAGACGGAGCTGAGACGGAGACGAGGTGTGGCCGAGGTGTGGCCGAGATGTCGCCGAGATGTGGCCGAGACGCAGCGCACCGAGGAAGGCGAAGACGGGCCGGCCGGCAGTCAGGGCGGCGACGAGGCGGATGAAGACTCCGCGCCCGACCTCGGTGAAGAGGCGGAAGTTGGCGTACGAGGCGGTCAGCGCGCCGAGCAGCGCGCCGTACAGCAGCAGGTAGAGCAGGCAGTGCTCCATCACTCGCTGCCGCGCGAGCAGCGAGATCGGGCGGCTCTCCTAGGGTCCGGGTTAGGGGTAGGGTTAGATCGGGAGGCTCTCCTGCGCGGAAGCGGCGCGAGGAGTGGGTCCGACACCGCCCACCGCCGCCCGCAAGGGCGGATACGAGGCGGCTGTGCAGGCGCCTTGTCGTGCGAGAGGAGCCACGCGACGACGGAGTAGAGGGTCCCGCCCCCGAAGACGAAGAGGCAGAAGGGCGCGTACACGAGGCTCACCGTGAGGGTCTGCAGGTTGAGCGAGCCGGAGCCGTCGCTAGAGGTGCAGAGCACGCTCGTGTCGGAGAGGGCGAGCGCCCACAGCGCCGCAGCCAGCAGCACGGCAATGTGGTAGAGCGGCCGGCCGGTGGTGGTGCGGAAGGGGTTGTGGTACACCACGATCAGGTCGACGTACATGAGCAGCCGCCAGCAGTTGGCGCCCATGTCGGCCGCCAGGAACGATACGAAGAGCGGGAGGTAGGCAGCGCAGATGGCGTGCTCGACAACGTCCGGGTCGTCCTCCGCGACGCCCGCCGGCAGCAGCCCCGGCGGCAGCGGGAGGTGGATCGCCGCGTCGCTCGCCGACGGCGATCCGAGCAGCGCAATCGCGACGAATCCCGCCGACGCGTAGAGGTCGTACAGCGACGAGTACAAAAACTGCCAGCCAGGCGTTCGCCGCACGTCGGGGAGGATGTAGTAGGTCACCAGCAGCAAAATGGAGCAGCAGCAGCTGAGGCTGCCCCACACGAGCAGGTCCGTGTGCGCCGCCGCGTAGAACTGCGCAAACAGCGTGGGCATGCGGCGACCGCGGTGATGACTGTTGCTCGCGCGCCGGGAGGCCCGAGCCGGGCGCCTGCGGCGCTGCGCAAAGAGGAGCTCGCCGACTGGCGGCGCGCAACCGACCGTATCGGTCTCCGGCCCGACGGCGAAGAAGAAAATCGCGACTCGAGCACCGGATAGAATGGATTCCGCATGGTACGGGACCCCTCGATCGTCTCCCACCGCCTCCGGGTCCTCGCGGCGGTCCGCCAGCGGGTCCTCGCCCGGCGGCGCGCCGGCGTCAGCCAGCCACGATCATGGCAGCGTCGACGGCCTCGCTCATGTGGTGCAGAGAGAGCTGAAACCGTCCGCACGCCTCGAAGACGTCGTAACGTCCCGCAGGCGCAGCTCCCTCCGATCCCCCGCTAACGGATCTTAACCCACCTGTAACCTCTCTTTATGGAATTCCCGAATCCCGTGCCGTGTGTAGCTCCCAGTGTGGACGCACGAGACGCCGTATCGCGTATGCGACGGACGGACCCTTGTAGCGTGCCAATGTATCCTTACTTGTGATGCTTGGATGTGTGAATCGGAGACAAACTAGTTCCCCACACACGAACAACACAAATCTCTCTCTCTCTCACGAACGATCAAACAAAGCCTAGAGAACACACCGCAAGTCCGCACTCTCCCTTTTCTCCTAGGAATTCGCGTAGCTCGCGCGAATCTCCCGCTCTACCCACCTTGTAACCTCACAACATGGAATTCCTACTCCACGCCGTGGTCACCATGCCTCTCCCTAGGCCTCTCCGGGTTTTTGTCTGGCCGAGTCCGTCCGAACCACCGTGTCCCTCACTTCACACTCTCTCTCTCTCCGTCGGTCCTCACGAGTGTCGAGTCTCGTCAGGGGGCGCCCGAGACGTTTTCATTTTCGGTCTTTTCGTCCTAGAATAGAGCTATCAGAGGTGGATCAATTAACGAGCGAGCCGCGCATCGCGCAGCTGGCATCGCGTTACCGCCGGGACCCGGCGTCGCTCGCACGGAGTCAACCCGAGATGCTGGGGCGAGCCTCGGCGAGACTGCGTCAACTGCTCCCACAGCACACCAGCAGGCATGTGTGCAGGCTGGAAGTACCTCGCCAGCTAGCTCGCCAGGCCGTGCACTGGGGGAGTGTTGCCACAGCCTCGATGCCAGCCAATTCGTTCTGCGGACGAGTGTGTATCAGGTGTGTACTACCCCCGCCCCCTCTCTCTCTCTCTCTCTCTCTCTCTGTGTGTGTGTGTGTGTGTGTGTGTGTGGTGTGTGTGTGTGTGTGTGTGTGTGTGGTGGTGGTGGGGGGGGGTTAGGTTAGGGGCAACCGCGAATTCTTTTCGCACGTGAGCCGGTGTGTGTGCCAGTCCGCGCCAGTCCGCGCCCGTGTTTTGCTTTGACCGCGCAAGATAAAGGGTGGCTAAGGGCTCTGCACGCAAGGCGCCCGCGTCGCAGACGCGGTACCATTGACAAATCTGCAATATACCCCCACACGAACAAATAGCAAAATCCGAATACCGTGCACAAACTGCGTGATCTGCGCCGTGCAAGCCTTCAGCTGGTGCCAAGACATCCGTAAAGTTGAAAGCAGAACGTCCGCCAAATCCGTGCTTTCGCGCAACTTGAGGGGAAGCCGCTGACGTGCCCGTGGCGCGCGGCCGCCTCCCGCGCAGCACCGCCGCTGCGGAATCGGATCGATCCCATGGAGGAGGAGGGCGCAGTCGGCCAGCGCAGCAGGCGGAGTCCCTCCCCGCGCCGGAGCCCCCCTGCAGTCGAGGGAGTCCTCGTTGGCGATGAAGGTGGCGACATCGAATCGCGGCCGACACACGTCACGTGGGAGGAATGGGCGATGAGCGGGAACGATGCGCGCTACGACGCCGACTCCGCCGTGCTCGTGGCCGCCAAGCAGAAAGCCGCGCTCCAGGAGCACGCCAAGATGCAATGGCTCGCTTGCTTCGATTCAGCTCTCTCGGCAGCAGAAGTGGGGCTGGAGCGGGTGGGGGTGGATGCCGATTGAGGGGGAGCGTCTCCAGCTGCGCCCTGTGGCAGCTGCGCCCTGTGGCAGCTAGTCGAGGGACTTGGTAGTTGTGACCCCCCTGAGTGAGGACAGGAGAGAGAGAGAGCGTTTTGTGGTGTTGGTGTACGCAATAACGGGACAGGGTGGTTGTTCTCTCTATCTCCTCTTCTAGCTCTTAGCATGAGCTGCGCCCGGTGTCCGACCCCTTTTGCGCAGCAACACCTTAAACTTTTAGGCCCTCCAAATTCGGGTCGGAGCGTAGCGGAGTGGGCCCCGAGTTTGAAAAGGGCGACGGACGCTTGCGTCCTAGCCTCCAACAACGCCTCCCCGGCGCAGAGGGGCCCCCGGAGGGATGCACAACCGCTCCACGCCACGCCGCTTGCGGCGGTCCTCTTCCCAGCTCCGCTGAGAGCCCGTGTGGCGATAGAATTCTTCCGTTCGAACTGGGCACGAGCCGCGTCCGCGCTTGCCGCCCGGCTGCTGCCTCGTTCCACGCCCACTCTTGCAGCCCCGATGGTCACCAAGGCCAGCTCCAAGGCCAGCAAGGCCGGCTCCAAGGCCGGCGAGGCCTCCGCCGGGCTGTCCGCGCCGCTCTCCGTCGCATCTGTCCGCGCGACGGAGGAGCGACTGCTCGCAGACCGGCGGCACGCGAACGAGCTGATTGACCTGCTCGCGGCGTCGGCGTCCGCGGCAGACGTGTCCGTCCGGCTCGCCGCGACGCAGGCGTGCCGCGCGCTCTTCGTGGCCTGGGCAGAGGCGGGAAGCCTCCCGCTCGGCGCGGAGGAGGCTGCCGCCGAGCCGGCGGACGAGGCTGAAGCGCGGCAGGCGTCCGCGCTCGAGGCGTACCGCGAGTGGCTGCGCGACAAGTACGACCGCTTCGTGGCGGCGCTCGGCTCGCAGCTCGGCGCGGCGGCGGAGTCGCCCGAGCTGCGCGTGCTCGCGCTCGACTCGCTGATGCTGCTCGCCTCGGCGGAGGTGCGCCTCGCGCGGCCGGGCGCCGCCTGCCCGTACTACGCGGCGCTGGGCGCCTCTCGCGGCGCCCTCGGGGCGGGCATGCTGGCGATGGCCTCGGCCAAGGCGGCGCTGCCTCCGCCCCTCCTCGAGCGGATTGCCCGTGCGCATGCTTGCAAGCTCGACGTCGGCCTGCACCTGCTCCGGCACGTGCAGCGCCTCGCGCGCCCGCAAGCGGCGGCCGCGGACGGCGGCGGCGGCGAGCGCGCGGAGCGGCTGCTGCAGCTGCTGCTGCTCGTCACTCCCCCGGCGGAGGACGTCCTTCCCGAAGAGGCGCCCCTCCTCGTGCCGCCCGCCCAGGACCCCGCCGGCTGGCCCGCACCGGCGCGCAGCCTGCTGCAGCGCAAGCGGCACGTCAAGGAGTTCTGCGGCGCGTGGCGCGCGCTGCTCGCGCTGCCGCTGCCCGCGCGCGCGCACCGGAGGGTGCTGGCGGCCCTCCCAGAGGCGGTGCTTCCCCACGTGCCTCGCCCTCTCCGATACGCCGACCTCCTCTCGAGCGGCTACTCGCGCGGAGGCGAGATGTGGCCGAGATGTGGTCGAGATGTGGCCGAGACCAGAGCCTATGTAGCCGAGATCAGAGCCGGCCTCCTCTGCGGCGTCGCTGCCCCTCCCTCCCAGTGAGTGGTGTGACGCGGCCGAGGCTTGGCAGCCGTCGAGATCTAGCCGAGATGCGTCTAGCCGAGGTGTAGCCGAGATGCGGCCGAGGCGTGGCAGGCGTCGACGCGCTGCTCTCGCTCAAGGGCCTCTTCGTGCTCATGACGCGCCACAACCTCGAGTACCCGCGCTTCTACACCCAGCTCTACTCCCTCGTCACCCTCCCCTCCCTCGGCGGTGCCAACCGCGCGACCTTCGCACTCGAGCTCGACCTCTTCCTCTCGTCGGCCGGCTTGCCCGCATACGTCTCTGCAGCCTTTGCCAAGCGGCTCGGCCGCCTCGCCCTCCTCGCCCCGCCGCCGGCGGCAGCGCTCGCGTGCGGCTTTTTGCGCCGCACCCGCCGCACCGGGTGGAACCTTCCCCGACCCTTCCCGGACCTCTTGCTGCAGGTGCGGCCTCGCGTACAACTTGCTGCTCCGCCAGCCCGCCGCGCGCGCGCTCATCCACCGGCCGGCCGCCGACGCCGACGCCGCCGCGGCCGAGGACCCGTACGTCGCCGCCGAGGCCGAGCCGCGCGATTGCCGCGCCTTCGACTCGTGCCTCTGGGAGGTGGACACGCTGCGGTCGCACTTTTGCCCCTCCGTCTCGTCGCTCGCCGCGCTGTTTGCACGGCCCTTCACGCAGTCCACGCCGCCGGTTGAGTTGGCGCCGCTCGCCGCGCTCTCGGCCGACTCGCTGATCCGCGTCGAGACGCAGCGCAAGCTCAAGCGGGCGCCCATCGCCACGGCGCCGGCGGAGCCGCCGCCGCGCCATGCAAAGCTGTGGGTGCCTTGACCGATGACGCCACGCGAGATTGGGGGCTGGGTCGGCCGCGTGGCCGCGGCCCACCGCCGCGGATCCGGTCCCCTCTTGTTTTTTTCGCACCGGAACACCGAAAAAACCACGTCCAGCCACACTAGTCGCGGCTGGGAGGGGCAAGTGTCGGAGTACGGAGACACTCGGCGCAAAACGGGACAACGGACGACTCAACGTACGCAACACATACAGAGACTCGATCACAGCAACGAGAGGCGGCTCATCTCGGCCGATTGGACCAGCCCGCCGGGCGGCTGGTGGGCGGCGGGTCGATGTCGGGCACCAATCGCTCGATGAAGGCGCCCGTGTCGCCCGTCAGCTTGAGGTCTTGCATGAACTGGTCGACGAAGCCCTGCGGCGCCGAGAGGCGGGGCGGGGCGTGTCCTCCGCGCGGCGAGGGGTGTGTGGCGGTGGTGTGGCGACGTGTGGTGTCGTGTGGCGATATGTGTGTGTGCGTGGTGGTCATGTCGCGTGCCTGCCGGTCGACTGGGTAGAGCACGTAGAAGGCCTTGCCGATGATATTCTCGATCGGCAGCGAGCCCCACACGTGCGAGTCCACAGACACGTTCCGGTTGTCCCCGAGCACAAAAATGGCGCCCGCAGGCACCGTCGTCAGCGGCAGCGAGTACGTCGGCGCCTCGAGCGCGTACGGCTCGTAGCGCGGCGCGCCGTTGAGGTAGAGCACGCCCGCCCGCACCTACGGGACATGTCTCGGACATGTCCGTGGACGTGTCCCGGACATGTCGTACCCGTCGCAGATGTTCAGCACCTACGGGGCATGTCTCGGACATGTCCGTGGACGTGTCTTGCGGCTCGAGGGGGTCGGAGGGTCTCCCCCCCCCGGCGCCTCAACTGTATCGCCTCCGACGGCGATCACGCGCTTGATCAGCCGCGTCCCTGCCGAGAGGGCGAGCCCGCGTCAGCCCTGCCCCGGGGAGGCTCGAGGCGGGCCGCGGTGGGAGGGGCGGCGCGTGGCGCGGGGGCGACGGGAGGGCGGCGTGGAGGGCGGTGGCGGCGCTGCGTGGCGGCGCTGCCTCGTCTCGCACGTCGCGTCCAGGAACTGTCTAGGAACTGTCTAGGAAGCGTCTAGCAGCTTTGCGCCTGGCCGCTCCTCTGCGCCCTTGGCGGCAAAGTAGGCGGCGGGGGGGCGGAAGACGACGAGCTCTCCCCGCTTCGGAAGCGCCTGCCACGCGTGTGCGCGGGACGGCCTTTGTTTGTCTGCCTGTCTGGCGTGTGTGCGTGGCGGGGACTTGCTGCAGCTGCGGTTGGGGCCGCAGTGGCGTTGGGTGCGGCGCTTGTGGTGCGGCGGCGGGCGCGCACATAGAGGCGAGAAAACTTCTCGACGGCGATCTGGTCGTTTGGAGAGAGGGTCGGCGCCATGGACTGGGAGGGGATGAAGAAGGGCTCGACCACGCACGTGCGAACCCACAGGAAGAGGCCGAGCGCCGGGATGAAGTTGCGCAGAAAGCCTTCGCCGCGCCGCCGCCACACCTCCGCCGCCGCCAGCGCGCCCTCGCCGCGACCGAGCGGTCGACGCGCCTTGGTTCGGCGCGCGGCTGAGTTCGCCTTCACCCTGCGGATTGGTTTTGGCGAGGGATGCTGCAGCTTTGCGGCGAGCGGCGCAACAACTCGGCGATGTCGCAGCGGCTGTCGCAGCGAAGCCCACGCCGGCGCGAGCGCAGCGGATCCGACGGCGGGCAGCCCGCCGTAGATGAGGGGAAGGAGCAGCACCGCCAGGTACCGCCCCCGCCAAGATGAGTCGGGCATTCTCGGTTGAGGAAAAAATACACGCTGCGGCATCCCTCCGGGGGCCCCTCTGCGCCGCCGGGGAGGCGTTGTTGGAGGCTAGGACGCAAGCGTCCGTCGCCGTTTTCAAACTCGGGGCCCACTCCGCTACGCTCCGACCCGAATTTGGAGGGCCTAAAAGTTTAAGATGTTGCAAAAGGGGTCGGACACCGGGCGCAGCTCATGCTAAGAGCTAGAAGGGGAGCTAGAGAGACAACCACCCTGTCCCGTTATTGCGTACACCAACACCAGGGGCTGGGAGGCCTTGTGACACCTTGCCCAAGTTGGGCAAGCCTTGCCCACAAGAGCCAAGTTGGGCAAAGCGCAAGATCCGATCCTAACGTTAGGATCGGATCCTCGAATTAGGATCGAATGAGAGACGAAGCTCGCGCAACTCAATCGAGCTCCAAAATGCACTACGCTGCCGCCTCACCTCCTGCTGGGCGCTCTTCTACTTCGCTGCCGCTCCTGTGTACTGAGCTGCCGCTCTGTGCGCTCGCTTTCGCCGCTCTCCTAAGGATCCGATCCTAGCTCGATAGATCCGATCCTCGTCCGTAGGATCCGATCCTAGCTCGATAGATCGGATCCTAATTAGAGTGTGGCAAGCCCTTGCCAAGTGGTGGCACCCCTTTGCCAGAGTGTGGCAAGCCCTTGCCAAGCCCTTGCCAGAGTGTGGCAAGCCCTTGCCAACTGCTGGCAAGCCCTTGCCAGAGTGTGGCAAGCCCTTGCCAAGTGGTGGCAAGCCCTTGCCAGAGTGTGCAAGTGCCTTGCCAGAGTGTGGCAAGCCCTTGCCACGTGGTGGCAAGCCCTTGCCAGAGTGTGGCAAGCCCTTGCCAAGTGCTGGCAAGCCCTTGCCAGAGTGTGGCAAGCCCTTGCCAGAGTGTGGCAAGCCCTTGCCAGAGTGTGGCAAGCCCTTGCCAACAGGTGGCAACCCTTTGCCAGAGTGTGGCAAGCCCTTGCCAAGTGGTGGCACCCCTTTGCCAGAGTGTGGCAAGCCCTTGCCAAGTGGTGGCACCCCTTTGCCAGGTTGTGGCAAGCCCTTTGCAAGTGGTGGCAAGCCCTTTGCTGGTGGTGGCAATGCTGGTGGTGGCAAGCCCTGTGGTGGTGGTGGCTCTTCACGTGGTGGGGCGAGCTCTTCACGGAGTGTGGCGACCTCTTGCCAAGGGGTGGCAAGCCCTTGCCAGAGTGTGGCAAGCCCTTGCCAGAGTGTGGCAAGCCCTTGCCAGAGTGTGGCAAGCCCTTGCCAGAGTGTGGCAAGCCCTGTGCTGGCTAGTGCTAGCGTTACCTTAGGGTTAGGGTTAGGGTTAGGGTTAGGGTTAGGGTTAGGGTTAGGGTTAGGGTTAGGGTTAGGGTTAGGGTTAGGGTTAGGGTTAGGGTTAGGGTTAGGGTTAGGGTTAGGGTTAGGGTTAGGGTTAGGGTTAGGGTTAGGGTTAGGGTTAGGGTTAGGGTTAGGGTTAGGGTTAGGGTTAGGGTTAGGGTTAGGGTTAGGGTTAGGGTTAGGGTTAGGGTTAGGGTTAGGGTTAGGGTTAGGGTTAGGGTTAGGGTTAGGGTTAGGGTTAGGGTTAGGGTTAGGGTTAGGGTTAGGGTTAGGGTTAGGGTTAGGGTTAGGGTTAGGGTTAGGGTTAGGGTTAGGGTTAGGGTTAGGGTTAGGGTTAGGGTTAGGGTTAGGGTTAGGGTTAGGGTTAGGGTTAGGGTTAGGGTTAGGGTTAGGGTTAGGGTTAGGGTTAGGGTTAGGGTTAGGGTTAGGGTTAGGGTTAGGGTTAGGGTTAGGGTTAGGGTTAGGGTTAGGGTTAGGGTTAGGGTTAGGGTTAGGGTTCGGGCTATGGGCTATGGGCTGTGGGCTATGGGCTATGGGCTATGGGCTGTGGGCTGTGGGCTGTGTGCTGTGTGCTGTGTGCTGTGTGCTGTGTGCTGTTGGCTGTGTGCTGTTGGCTATTGGCTGTTGGCTGCGGGCTCGTGGCTCGAGGAGCTCGGAGGTGGGAGGTGCTGTTGGCTGTTGGCTGTTGGCAGTGGGCTGTTGGCTGTGGGTGTATAAGGCACACATGCAACAAGGCCTTAAAACCAGAGCAAAAAGTCAACGCCGCCATCTGCACTCCGGCTGGCTCTCAGCAGCGACTGTCTGGCCGCACGATAAGAGCTCTGAAGACCGTAAAAAGCGTTTTCTATCACCAAAAGACGTGGCCACATTGTCAAACACTATGATGCCCTTGTTCATCTAGCAGGAGGGCCACTGCCAAGGGTAGCTCGGCCCAAATTGTCGCGATAGCCGAACCGGCCAAAAACGGCGCCATCAGCAGCGACTGGCAGACCGCACAAAAACACGTTTATCAACCAAAACAAGGCTGGATACCGCGAAAGCAAGACTGGAGGCGCGCAGGTGTGTTTGGCTAGCCAGGCTGGACCCCTCGCAAACGACACGCAACCCAGCACTCGCGATTATGAGGCGAAAATCGGCTCTCAGCAGCGACTGGCAGACCGCACGAAAACGCCTCTGCCGACCGAAATAACGATATTGTGCGCAAAAGCAAGGCTAAACAGGCGGGATCTGATGCAAAGCAAGCATCTCCAACATCTAAACCATCCACCAGAAGATTGCATCGATTTTCCATGTCAGCGGTCGAGATGGACCGGGGGGGCGTTCGGTCGCGACCGGCGACCAGAGTGGTCGTGACCGTGGTCGCAAATTGGCGACCACGCGACCAGAGTGGTCGTGGCCGTGGTCGCAAGTTGGCGACCACGCGACCAGCTGGCCGTATGTTGGCGACCATATAGGGTCTTTGGTCGCGTGGTCGCTGGTCGCAAGTTGGCGACCACGCGACCAGAGTGGTCGTGGCCGTGGTCGCAAGTTGGCGACCACGCGACCAGCTGGCCGTATGTTGGCGACCATATAGGGTTTTTGGTCGCGTGGTCGCTGGTCGCATGTTGGCGACCACGCGACCAGAGTGGTCGTGGCCGTGGTCGCAAGTTGGCGACTCGACGCGTTCAGCCGGAAGTTACTTAGTGACGGTGAAGGAATGAGCTCTCGAAAACAAACACCATTCTGTTCAGAATGGCCAAAAGGTGCCAGAGGCGCAGCCTCTGGCACAGTATGACTACGTAATAAACGGGACTAGAGGGCGGGAGGGTTGGCTTGGCCCCCGCGAGCTTCGAAGCTCGAGCTTCGCGTGGTCGCTGGCCGTATGTTCACGACCGGCGACCAGAGTGGTCGTGACCGTGGTCGTATGTTGGCGACCATATAGGGTTTTTGGTCGCATGGTCGCTGGCCTTATGTTGGCGACCACGCGACCAAAGTGGTCGTGACCGTGGTCGTATGTTGGCGACCACGTCGCTGGCGAGCTAGGGTTACCTTGGGGGCTACGTTTATAGCGCGACCAGAGTGGTCGTGACCGTGGTCGCAAGTTGGCGACCATGTTGGCGACCATATAGGGTTTTTGGTCGCATGGTCGCTGGCCTTATGTTGGCAACCACGCGAGCTAGGGTTAGGGTTAGGGATATGGCTGTCGAGCTAGGGTTAGGGTTAGGGCTATGGCTGTCGAGCTAGGGTTAGGGTTAGGGCTATGGCTGTCGAGCTAGGGTTAGGGATAGGACTATGGCTGTCGGGTTAGGGTTAGGGTTAGGGTTAGGGTTAGGGTTAGGGTTAGGGTTAGGGTTAGGGTTAGGGTTAGGGTTAGGGTTAGGGTTAGGGTTAGGGTTAGGGTTAGGGTTAGGGT